CCCTGGGCTGAAGGCGGCGCTAAACCGCTGAGCCATCAGGGATGCCCAAAAATGCTGTATTTTGATAGGGAGTGCGTTAAAGTGTACATTGCTTGGGAGTAGTATAGACATTTAAAAAATATTTGTTCTTCCAGTATCACTCATCATCAGGGAAATGCAAAACAAAACCACAGTGAGATATTACCTCACACCAGTCAGAATGGCTAACATCAAAAACACAAGAAACAACAAGTGTTGACGATGATGTGGGGAATGTGGAATCCTCATTCACTGTTGGTGGGAATGCAAACTAGTGCAGCCACTCTGTAAGACAGTATTAAGGTTCCTCAAAAAATTTAAAATAGAACTACCCTGCAATCTAGTAATTGCACTACTGAGTAGTTACCAAAGGACACAAAAACACTAATATGAAGGGATATATGCACTGCTATGTTTATTGCAATATTATTTACAATAGTCAAACTATGGAAAAAGCCCCAAGTGTCTATCGCTAGATGAATGGATAAAGAGGAGCTATATGTGTGTGTATGTATGTATATATATATATATATATATATATATATATATATATATATACACGATGGAATACTACTGAGCCATAAAGAAGAATGAAATCTTGCCATTTGCAACAACTTGGATGGAACTAGAGAGTATTATGCCAAGTGAGGTAAGTCAGTCAGAAAAAGAAAAAAAAACACATAATTTCACTCGGATGTGGAATTTAAGAAATAAAACAAACAACAAAGAGAAAAAAAAGAGACAAACCAAAACCAGACTTTTAACTACAGAGAACAAACCGATGGTTACCAGAGGGGAGGTGGGTGGGGATGGGGGAAACAAACAATGGGGATTAAATAATACAATTATCTTGATGAGCACTGAGTAATATATGGAAATATGGAATCACTATATTGTACACCTGAAACTGATATAACACTGTGTGCTGACCACACTTGAATTAAAAAAAAAAAAAAGATACAGCCATTATGGGGTCTTGTTTTCTGGGGGAAATGACAGGCTGCACTGGTTTTCAAATCTGTTTATATACTTGAGTTGAATCTTGTACTCTCACCTCTTGGATTGAATAAAATGCACCATTACATAATCACATGCATGCATTTTTTTCCCAGGCTTCCATGGATGGGAGGCTGTACTGTGACCAGTGCCCAGCTCTGTCATGCCTGGACTATTTTTTCCAGTTGCAAAGTAGGTTAGGGCCACATGATCTGGGTGCTCCTCTAGCTCTCTCCCTCATTGGCTCTGTCACCTTGGGCAAGGTACCCTCAGTCTCAACACCCATAAATTAGGACCAACAATATACCTGTGCCATAGTGGTGTTGGATGATTAAATGAGGTGTACTGGATAGGAAACACTGAGTGCTCCATAAATGTGACCCCCTATTTATCAGAGCAAGGAACTAAACTTTTTCTTCAAAAGTCTTAAAATGAGTTTAAGAAATGCCATTTTGAAGTGAGCAAGGTTGGCAATCATTGTTTTGTTTTGCATGAAAGCACATCCTTTCTGGGAAGAATGGGAATTCTCCTGATTCTGGGCATAAAGATTTAGGAAGGGTCCTGCCTGTGGACAAAAGTCAGGATCAGATCTGGGTGGACTCAATCCTCAGAGGTTTAGGAATGGCTAGAATCCCGATCATCAGAGGATTTCCCCTCTAAAGTGGTACTGCTGTGTTCTTAATCTCAAGATGCTTTCTCCTGCATTAAAATTGTGTGTGCTCACATGAACTGTCATGTTCAAAGCTCTCCCAGCCAAAGGCTTTGAACTTGTTCTTAGTACACTCCCTTCCCTGTCACCCTGCTTATAAATTACATCGAGGCTGGAGGATAGAGCAAAGAGGCCAAAGGAACTTTTCATGTTATCTCTGAGTATTTTAAGATACCACGAGCAACTGAAAGGTCAAATTGAAAATTACAATCGAGCCTCATCAATATTTCAGTCACTGCGAGTTGAAGATGGCCTCTTAGCAGAGTGGGTTGGCGAAGGAGATCGCTGTCCGGGCTGGCTGTGTCCTACTTCCATTTTCAAATACCTCACCCAGCTCTCTGCAGCCTCTGACACTGAAAAGCCTTGTCCCCTCGCTCTCCCTTTGTGCCTGTGCACCAGGCTTGGCCCTGGGCTAACTTCGGGGTCAGAGAAAGGGGAACAGCTCTGGTGTCCACTCTCAGTGTGCTCTGTCCCAACAGCTGTAACAGTCCCACTGGGAGCCGCTGCCTGCACGGGGGAGCTGGTTGTGATGGAGATCTTTGCCCACAAGCTGGCCACATTGACCACCAGTCACTGGGCGATTCATGGTATTAGTGTCTTCAGCGCAGTCTCAGTGGCATATTGGGCAGCTTGCAGACTTGATTCCACTGTCCCCAGGATGAGGCGGGGTAGTGAGAGGAAGTGCCAACTAGTGTTTCCCTCTCTTTCCCTTCTTTTGCTTTTGCAGTAGCTGAAGTATGAGTAATCAGATTGAAGCTTCTAACTGTGGTCATTGTCCCAGCTTAACTGAATTGATTCCCATAGAAAGGAATAGTTGAGGTACACTTTTGTGGTTTTCTGTCACTTGTGAATCGTGCGGGATTGAAACCTGGCCATAGACTGTCTGGGGGATGAGCCCTTAGCACAAATGGTTGGACCTTTGGGTCTGGTGCTTCAGTGGCCTTTTCAGACTATTCAGGGTCGTGTTTTTCTTGTGTGTGGATGTAATTGCTCAGAAGCAGTTGGGAAGTTGGGAGATGGTTGTTAACTCTGTATGCCCCAAATACTGTAACTCTTTTCACTAGAATTACAGTAGCTTGGAAATTTCTTTCTTGTCTACCATGAGATATTTTTTTAAAAAATCCCACTGGAAATGTATTTCAGACCTGAGCCTCTCTGATTGTTGGTGGGAAGGGAACCTTTGCCATCAAGGTGAGGGCCTCTGGGGCTTATGCAGTCCATTCCTGTGAGCCAGTGGCAGGAGATGTGCCGTCTGGCCCTGGCTGCTGTCACCTTGACAAACATCCTGCCTGACTTGGCTTCCTCTGTGAGCCCTACTCTGAGGAGATGTGCTTTGGGAGCATGCCAGGGTTTTAAGCCCTAGAGGTCATGCAGGGTGTGATGGCAGGCACCGTAGTCTAAGGTCCAAAGGAGCTGAGCGAGGGTGACAGACTCCCCCAGTGACTGTGTCGGGCAAGTGCACCAGGCAGGAGGAAGCAGCTAGCCACGGAGGTGCTGTAGCTGTGTACTTACCTCTGGGTCCTTCTCCCAGGTGTTGTCTACTTTTCTTTCTCCGCTTCTTGTCACCTGGCCTTCCTCTCCTTTCCATGTTGCTCTGTTTAGTTTTCTCTGCTTTTTAAAGATTTGCCCCTTTTTTGTTTTGACTTTCCCCTTCCCTCTTTCAGGTCTTCATGCTCTTCTATTTTCATTCTGTCTTGGTGGTGTTCTCTGCACTTTCGCTTCTTTATATGCTCGCAGGTGTTGGCATCCCCCAGAGAAGCTGACCGTAATCTTGGCATTATTTTTAACCTGAAGTGAGTCTCTTTATGCCACAGCAGTATGCAAGTGTTAGGCTGGTTCAGATCCAGTGACTATAACTGGAAGAAACCCACCTCCATCAGTTTTATTCATTACAAAAAAATCACAGGACAGCATTCAAAGACTTTTAAAACAAACATGGTATTCCCACTTCTTATTCAGTCCTCGCTTTCCCCATCTCTCTTGTCTTTAGTGGTTTCTGTGCCTGTTCTTCTATACGATTAAGCATAATTGGGTATTCTTTACTTTGCTCACTAAGTCGACAGGCTTATGTACTGCTATTTTCCCTTCACGTGGCAAAACATCCAAAAGTGTAAGCCTTTAGAGCTGACATTTTAGTGGCTACTTAATTCCTCCCCCAGCTGACATCTCCCCTGGGGGACAGCTCGCTAAGGTCAGGAAGAGAGGCTGTGGACAGGTGCAAAGTGTGAGAGTTTGGCCGCCAACCAGGCCACATCCAGACATGGCTTCAGTGAGCCACATGACCCTAGAGTGGGTGGTTCCCTTTTCTAAACTGTGATATCTTGGGGATCTGATGGCTGGAATGTGGAGTGTCTTCTGTGCTGAGCTGAGGACTTTGAACTTCTGGCCTGCCACAGTAGGAGTGGTCACTAGCCAGCTGTCTCCCAACAGGAACCAGTCAGTGTGTATCCCTTGGTGGCTGGTGGAGGACGGGATGGGTGGGGATGAGATATGGGGCAGGGAAACCAGTCTGAAGCTTGCCTGTCTAGTGATTCGTGATGACATGCAGAAACTCCTGTTTGGATTCTGGAACCAGAGGACAGTCTCAGTGGATAGGGTGTCTTTGCCCTCTGAGCTCCTGGGTACATTGAAATCCCTTCATTTGGTGACTGGAAGTTATCTCGGCTGCTCCTGCTCCCTGAGTGCCAAGTTGTTTGTATAGGAATTAGGACTTGAGAAAGAGCATTAGTGTTTCCTCTTCCCAGACAGAGTAAGTATGAGATCTTTGTCTAAAAACAAGCTGACCTGGGTGGCTCAGTGGTTGAGTGTCTGCCTTTGGCTCAGGTTGTGATCCCGGGGGTCCTGGGATTGAGTCTTGCATTGGGCTCCTTTTGGGGAGCCTGCTTCTCCCTCTGCCTATGTCTGCCTTTCTCTCTCTCTGTCTCTCATGAATAAATAAATAAAATCTTTTTGTTTTAAAGATTTATTTATTCATGAGAGACATAGGCAGAGGGAGAAGCAGGCTTCCTGCAGGAAGCCTGATGCGGGACTTAATCCTGGATCCCTTGAGCCATAAGCAGACACTCAACTGCTGAGCCACCCAAGTGTTCCAGTAAATAAAAACTTAAAAATAAATAAATAAAAACAAGCTGCAGTCTGTGTAGGGAGGACCTTCAAAGTGCCTACATTTTGATTTTCACGATTGTACATTTTGGTAACGGCACTTTGAGGGGATGACACTTTTTTTTAGGGTGGGGCATGTCCACTTTTTGACCAGTGTCTGTCGTTTTGTTTACAGATTCCCACTGGAAATCCATTATATGAATCTTATTACAAGCAGGTAAGTTTCACTGGTGTTTTTTTGGATTGAATTAGAGAGGACCTATCTTGGCAGGCACAAATCTTAATAGAAGCCCGGTTTAGTCCCTTTCTATCCTCCCAAGTTATCAGCCAGTAGCCAGTGGGCTATGCGCTGCTTTATCTGTTGTCCGTTTGCTGAGGTCTTGTCTCAAGAGTTGTCTCCTATTCTAGGTAGACCCGGCATACACAGGGCGAGTTGGGGCGAGTGAAGCTGCGCTTTTTCTAAAGAAGTCTGGACTCTCAGACATTATCCTTGGGAAGGTACGTGAAGATGGATAATGACTTCTCTTCTGAGGCCACCCTCAGGGCTCCCCTGGCAGGCAAAGACCAGACTTCTCTTCAAGGGGATGTGCCTCCTGGGGAGTGGGCTGGTCACTGTGAGCCTGGCAGGCTGTCACTGGTGGGTATTCCACTTACTTCTTGGGCAGCAGACAAGAGGCCTGAGTGCTTTGGGGATCTTGACAGCTTATGGGTTTATTTTGGCTTTGGAGCCAAGTGGACCTGGGTATTCTCTAGGTTTTGCCACTGACTAGCTGTGTGCCCATGGGGAGCAGGCAGGTCATTCATCTGTTCCAAATTTGCCTCCTCACCCAAAGCTCAGGAGTAACCATTCCAGCTGACTTGTAAGTCTCAGACACAGGGGCATCAGTTCCGGTTCTGTGAATAAATGGGCAGTGATTGGCAGTTGTACTTATGAGCACTTTTGTGTTTCCACAGATATGGGATTTGGCCGACCCAGAAGGTAAAGGGTTCTTGGACAAACAGGTATATATATATATATATATATATACACACACACATATACATACATACACACCATAAACACGGCAAGTGGAGAGGCTTGAGTCAGAACCCCACAGGCTGGGTCACCTCTGCTCTTCCTTCCTTGTTACTGCCGCAGACAAGTATTACTAGACATAAGTGCGGCCATCAGACTATTAAAATTGGAAGGTTTCATTTTGAAATAAAGGTTTTTTGAAAACATTTGGAGGGAGCCATCTTTCGTGGTTAGCAGATCTTTTAATATTTTGTGTGCTTACAAGTGATGAAAATGTTTTCAAAATGTTCTATTTTGAAATAAGACTCATGGAAATTGCAAAAATAGTTCAGAGAGTTCCGGTGTATCCTTCCTCCGCTCCCCACAGCGAGAGCTGCTTACGTCACCATAGTGTGATGCTCAGATCCTGGAGTGGTACTAAACTAGAGGCCTTGCTCAGAGCTGATTAGTTCTACATGCAATTTTTGGTGTTCTTTGGTGTGTATAGTTCTGTGTAATTTTATCAGTTGCACAGACTCATGTAATTGCCATCAAAGGATATAGAACTGCCTGGCCCCCAGAAGAATCTCTTGTGTTGCCCCATGGCAGTCACACCCTAACCCCTGGCACCCCACTGGTTCTTTCTCCATCATGACTTTGTCATTTTGAGAATGTTCTGTAAATGGAAGTTTATGGCATTTACAAATGACTTTAAGTGGTCGTATTTTAATTCTGTTCAGTCTTTCCCTAAACTAAATCCCAAGGGAATGTTGTTCCGTTGTCCTACTGTCCATGATCTGATCCATTGGGAAAGCACTATCAGCTCTTTCTCCCTTCCTTGAGATTTGCACTGTATGTCTGCATGTTGAAAGATTCTGAGCGTCCTTGTGGGCAAGAAACCTGTTAATTTTGTCTGATGCAGTTCCTAGAAACTTTCTTACATCCCCTTTTCTGCATATGCCACCTGGGCATTCTGTGGACACCGGTCTGAGAAGGGCTGGTTTAGTGTTTATCTCTTTGAGGAGGTTTTTAAAACTGTACTTGTGTTTACAGCTTTAAAACAGTTCATGTTCTCAGGCTATTTGATCAATTTAAAAAATTAGATGATGCTGCCTGAGTTCACTAAGACTGTGGCATGGCCAGTTCTGGGTTAGGAGGAGGCAAGGAGGAGCAAAGGTCCCTGATGGCCTAGTTCAGGTCCTTTGTCCCTATATGGGAATGAGGTCCACATTAGGCCACAGAGGGCAGGTGGGAGAGGCTATCTCCAGCAAGCCAGGGGGATCATAGCGAATTGTGCGTTATCAGTTCCCTAACAACTGTATCTGTTTCAAACCATTTTTTAAAAAGTCAACACATATTTGACTCATCATTTATTTATAATCTTAAACTTTAGTTTGTTACTTAATCTAACATTTTCCTAAATGTTGGGAGCTTGTTATTGCCTAAAATGTATTTATTTGAGGGGTGCCTGGCTGGCTCAGTCAGTAGAGCATGTGACTCTTGATCTCATGGTGGTGAGTTCAAGCTCCACATTGGGCATAAAGCTTACTTAAAAAATAATAAAGGTATAAAAAATACATTTATTTAAAATTTTACGGTGTTCAGAGTGTGGTGGACTAAGTCCACTTGGCAGGCATATTCATTTAAACAGTGCTCCCAGGGGGAAATCTGTTCAACTTGACCCTCAAGTGACTTTTGCACATTCAGTCTTTCTTGCTGCAGTGAAGAGAAATCCCTCTCTCCTGAAACCCACGACTGTAGACAGCTCTCCTCCATTATCGCCAGCCAGCTGTTGTTCACACCTCTCCCTCTTTTGGATTTGCAGGGTTTCTATGTTGCGCTGAGACTAGTGGCCTGTGCACAGAGTGGCCACGAAGTTACCTTGAGCAATCTGAATCTGAACATGCCGCCACCTAAATTCGTACGTATTGAAATCCTTCAGTTCATGCTCTTCTACTATCATCATCAATCTGTATTCTCTCTTTCTTTAATAGAGGTGGAATTTATATAACCTAAAATTCACCATTTTATTTTTTTTAAAGATTTAAAAAAGCTTATTCATGAGAGACAGAGACATAGGCAGAGGGAGAAGGAGGCTTCCTGTGGGGAGCCTGATGTGGGTCTTGATCCCAGGACCCTGGAATTACAACCTGAGCCAAAGACAGATGCTCAACCATGAGCCACCCAGGGCCCTAAAATTCACCATCTTAAAGTGAACAACTTAGTGACATTTAGTCCACTGACAGTGTTTTACAACCATCACTTATCTCTAGTTCCAGAATATTTTTATCACCCCAAAAGGAAACCTTTTACCCATTGAGTAATCAGTCACTCATGGGTCCCCCTCCTCTGGCCGCTGGTGGCCACTCGTCTCTCTGTGGATCTACCTGTTGTGGGCATTTCTGGAATCCTAGATCTGGCTGCTGTCACTCAGCATAATGTTTCCAGGGATCATCTGCCCTGTAGCAAGTGTTGGTGCTTGGTTCCTTTTCATTGCTGAGTCGGATTGCATTGTATGGCCCATCCATCCCTCTGTTGGTGGACGTGATAACTTGTGTTCCGGGATTTGTTGGCATACCTGTCTCTTCAGTTCTCTTGGGTCTCTACCTCGGTGGGTAATTGCTGGGGCATATAGTGATTCTGTGTTTAACTTTTTGAGATCTTTCCCCATTTTGAAAGCACTTTGAAATGTGTGTCCTTTTTTTTTTTTTTTTTTTTTAAGATTTTATTTGAGAGAGAGAGAGAGTGAGCGCACAAGCAGGAGTGGGAGGGGAAGAAGGAGAGGGAGAAGCAGATTCCCTCCTGAGCAGGGAGCCTGATGTGGGGCTTGATCCCAGGACCCTGAGATCATGACCTGAGCCCAAGGCAGTCACTTAACCAACTGAGTCACCCTGAAACGTGTGTCCTTTGCACAGACACATTCTCTGTAGTTGAATTCTGTGTCATCCACAGCAGAGTATTTCTCTTCCTTTACAGCATGACACCAGCAGCCCTCTGATGGTCACGCCGCCATCTGCAGAGGCCCATTGGGCTGTGAGGGTAAGTGACCCCCGGGCAATGCCCCTCAGGCATCCCTTTACGTGCAGTTGTATCAGCCATTTGTGGTGTTCAAAACGTTGGATGGGATGATTGTTCTGTTTCAGAGTGAGTCTGCCATAGAATTTAACCAAGACACTCTTTCAGATTAAAATCTTCTGAAATGGCCGTGACATTTTTGGGTGTTGCCCTGCTAAGGCCATTAGCTGAGTTTCAGGCAATGGATTCTTAAAATTTTACAGTTAATATTTTGCATTTTTAGGTCATGTTATGTGGTTTTTGCTGCCTGGGTTGGTTAATCAGGATAGAACGAGCAGTTGTGAGAATTTGCAAGTGTGAAGACATCTAAGATGTCTTTGTAACTCTCGCTCTTATTTCTAGCCAGTTTGGGTGTTGCTATTCATTCCTTTCTGATGCTCTCATTGCTTTTTGAAAAGCTTCTTTCAGTACCTGAGGGGACTGTCTCCATGTCCCATGTCTTTCTAGAAGCAGCAAAAAGAGGCAAGAGTGGTAACCTCTAATAGGTACAGAATTAGCTCTAAAGGAAATATGTGTGGGACGTGGAGACGGTGCCCTAGAGCCTGAGACCTCCTCACTCCCCACTTGTAAGGGGATTGTAACATTTCCTCACTTTTATTTGGCTTAAATACTAACCTTAATAACAGCCTTGCTATAAAATAAAGATGTCCCTCCACCCCCACCCCATATCAAGTACACTTGTCCTGTTTTTACACAATTTTTCTGTCCTGTCCTTTGAAGGGTTTGGACAAGGGGAGGTTTGTGTAGGCATAGGGCAGAAGGAGGCCTCTTCTGACCCAGGAATTGGGGAAGTGACCTCTGGGAGCAGCTGAGCACTTTGCCAGCAGCAGTCACAGTACCAAAGGATGTTCCTTCTTTGTAGTCTGCAGGGCACCTACTCTGAAAAGGAGCTGCTTTGTTGTGGAAAATGAAGCCAGAATTGCCTTGAGCTGTCCTGGCCCCTTTCCTGCAGGGCTGTGTTGAGGCCTCATGAGAAGGGCTGGCTCCAGAGGAGGCTGTGAGGCCTCACAAGCACGGGAGGCTGGGCAGGAAAGGTGCCGTTACAGGAGTAGACTGTTTTCAAGAGAGATTCAGCTGTTTTGATCAGATAAACATTGACAGAGCTGAAGTGCCAAGTGTTCTCTTCCGTTGGGAGAGCTCCTGGGCTGCTCAAAGCAGTGAAGTATGTGGGCACGATTCTAGACACTCAAGGTGGACACAGGGTGCTCGCCTTCTCAGTGCTCCCAGTGCCTCGCCTATGCAGTGTCTGCTCATGCGCTCCCTTCTGTTTTCTAGTTTTCTTTTTAATTGTGGTAAAGTGTAGGTGACATGAAGTTCATGAACATCTTAACCATTTTTTTTTTTTAAAGATTTGTTTGTTTATTTGAGAGAGAGTGAGAGGGTGCATACATGTGTGAGGGAGGTTAGGGGCAGGGAGAGGGAAAGATAATCCTGAGCAGACTCCATGCTGAGCAGGGAGCCCAATGCAGTACTCTCTCCCAGCACCCTGAGATCATGATCTGAGCCAAAACCCAGTTGGACGCTCAACTGATTGAGCCACCCAGGTGCCCCCACCATCTTGATCATTTTTAAGCATATAGTTCAGTAGTGTTAGGTACATTCATACTGTTGTGCAGCCATCTTCACTGTTCCTCTCCAGAACTTTCTCATTACTGCAGACTGAAACTCTGTCCCCATTAAACACTGACTCCTCCCCTCCCCACTCCACCTCCTGGCGCCTAGAGGAGAATGTGACTCCTCTGGGGACCTCATAGAAGTGGAATCCTACAGTACCTGTCCTTTGCTGTCTGGCTTATTTCAGTCAGCATTATTTTCTCAGGATTCTTCCATGTTGTAGCCTGGATCAGAATCTCCTTTGTTTTTGAGGCTGAAGAATATTCCATTGTGTGGATGCACCACATTTAGGTTATCTGTTCTGTCGATGGATGCTTTTGAGGGTTTCTTAATGCTCTCAGGGGCCCCAGCTCATGGGCTGAGTGGGTGGTGAGGGCTCTCTAACCCCTGGGTTCAGTCCCTGTGGGTTTCATTTCCGGAGGAGGGCAGACTGCAGGCCCCTGCCCAGACCCACCTCACTGATGGCCCCTTTGACATGTGTGGCCATGTGCTATTAGTCCTGCCCAGGGCTCTCTGTTTACGAGGAGCTTTTATAATTTATTTATTTATTTATTTTTTTTACTGTAAGAGGACTTCCTGTGCTTAAAGTTGATTTTTATAATTGGTTGCTTAAGTCTTGGTTTATTTTTATATTTGGTTCTTGAGCTCTTTTAGTCCTGTAGGTTGATATCCAGATTTAGTTGTTTGTCTTAAAGAATGAAAGCCCATTCACACTATGACCTTTCTTGTCCTAGTGAGCTCCTAGGAGGGAGGTAGGGTGATCTTTGTCTCCCAGGCGGCCCCTATGGTGGAGAGCAAGGCTTAGAGCCAGGTCCTGTCCCTCCATTGACCTTGGTCTCCAGATTCGTAGTTTCAGTGAGCTATTTCCTTCAGGGAAGATGTTTACTCTGGAACTGCCGTAAGACCATCCTGTGCTTTTAGGCGAGCCCAGGGGTGGGTCCTCGCCTGTTTTCTTTTTTCTTTTCTTTTCTTTTCTTTTCTTTTCTTTTCTTTTCTTTTCTTTTCTTTTCTTTTCTTTTCTTTTCTTTTCTTTTCTTTTCTTTCTTTTCTTTTCTTTTCTTTTCTTTTCTTTTCTTTTCTTTTCTTTTCTCTTTTCTTTTCTTTCTCTTCTCTTCTCTTCTCTTCTCTTCTCTTCTCTTCTCTTCTCTTCTCTTCTCTTCTTTTTCTTTTCTTTTCTTTCTCACAACAGACTCAGAGAGAGAGAGAGACAGAGAGACAGAGACACAGGGAGAGGGAGAAGCAGGCTCCATGCAGGGAGCCCGACATGGGACTTGATCCCAGGTCTCCAGGATCACACCCCGGACTGAGGACGGCGCTAAACCGCTGGGCCACCGGGGCTGCCCTCCTTGCCTGTTTTCATTCAGTTTCGGGTCAGAGCTCATTTTGGACTCTCCCACAGTTTTTGTTTTTTTTTTTACTTACTCAGGCTATTCTTTTCCAACTAGGTGGAAGAAAAGGCAAAATTCGATGGAATTTTTGAAAGCCTCTTACCCATCAATGGGTTGCTCTCTGGAGACAAAGTCAAGCCAGTCCTCATGAACTCAAAGCTGCCTCTTGATGTCCTGGGCCGGGTGAGTGATTCTCTCACATCCGACACTGCTGCTGACTGCCGTCTGCCCCATGCATGGTTCCCACGCACACATATGAGGCTTTACACAAGGCCATGCACCATTGGAGGCTTTGTTAGAGCTGATGTTCATGAAGAACTTGCTATGGTCAAGTTGGCTTAGGGCTTTATGGATGTGGCTCACAGATGCTCCCTGGGCTGTGGGAAGATGCTGGTGTGGGCCCATTACACACTTAGGGAGGCAGCCTCAGAAGTGAACTCGCTGCCTGGGGCCTAGAGACAGGCAGAAATGAGATTTGAACCCACACCCAGGATTTCCGCATCTCCGTGTGCTCCTGGGGAAAAGTATGGGAGTATATGTCCAGAACTTTTTTTCTTTTTTTAAAGACTTATTTATTTATTTTAGAGAGATGGGACATGAGGGAGAGGGAGAAAGAATCTCAAGCAGACTCTGCGCCAAGCATGGAGCCCAACACAGGACTCAGTCAGACCTAAGCCCAAACCAAGAGTTGGATGCTCAACTGACTGCACTATCTAGGCACCCCTCTTTTCTCTTTTTAATTACCTTTTTTTTTCTATCTGGGAGCTCAAGTTAAAGGTACTTTAAAATCTGCTGTAAGCTTAGAAGAAATTTTGCACGTTCTCTTAAAAGAAAGCCCTTAGTTTTGTTCCTATTAAATGCAAGTTCTTTTTAGTTACAGCTTTCTATTCCAGACTGTCTTCCCTCCAATGAGGTTTGCATCATGGCCCCGTGTGTTTGCTCTGTGACAAAGCTCAGTTCCACAGGCGTCTATACTGAGTTCCCTGCTCTTCACCAAGAAGGGATGGGTGTTGTCATCTGTCTGGATTGGATTACAGCGATGTGGCAGGCACAAACCCAGAGCAGGGAACTGAGCATAGTCTCTGCTGCCTTAGGCGATACCTGTAGGTCTAGCTTACGACATTTGGGACGACCTTTGGGAAAGATGCAAATTCCTGTCCCTTGGTTTCTGTTTGAGTATGACTTGTGGACACTGGCCCATTTGAAAGGACCCGAGTAGAGCCCATCTTAATACTTTGTTTTGAAGGAAGGCTGCTAAGAAAGGCAATCTCTCAAGTCCCTTTGTTTCCTCTGGGCTGTGGCATGGTATAGGTGGAGATCTGTGATGGGGACCAAGAGTCTTTACAAGGCATGAGTTTTAATTGCAGCAAGATGGGGTGACCCAGTCCTGCTCATTGTGTGCATTCATTTGGCAGTCCTTGCTAAATACCTGACAACTGGATATAATCATTCTATAGAGCCAAATTACAAACAAGACAGAATGATGGGGGTAAAGGTAGCTTCATTACAAAGGGAGATGTGGCTAGGAAGGGTGTGTTCTGCAGATCACCTGCCCTGGCTCCAGGTCTTGTGGCATAGGAGTCGCTTCTCATCTGCTGGGCTTTCTCCTTCCCTCCTTTTCTGCACACACCAGCCTTATGTGCACCCATTCAGGCATGTACACATGCATCCATATCCATATCCATGCACCCATCCATGCCCTTATCCATATCCATGCACACATGCATTCATAACCATGCACCCATTCACCTGTGCACCTGTCCATCTAGGCATGTGTGCACCCATATTCACGTACCCATTTAACTCTACACCTATCTGTAATATGTGCATCAGTGTACTCGTGCATTCATGCATCTATGCATCTGTCCATTCATCCATCCACTAACCATCCATTCAGCCATTCAGGAAGTTTGGAGTCTGCTCTCGGTCAGGCCTTGTGCTGGGCACCGGGAAGATGAAGATGAAATTAGAAATTAGTCCAAGGGGTCAAAGAGATAAATAATGGTTAAGATTGTGATATTTATTTATTGAGGTCTTACTATATGCCAATCCCATTAGAACACTTTGCATGAATGAAGTCCTTCAGGACTTGCAGCCGCCCTGTTATGAATGGTATCACTTCCATCTTCTAGATGAGGAAAAGTGGGCTTTCAGAGTGGCTAATAAGCCTCCTGGGGTCTCATGGAGAGGGGAATAGGACCTAGGTGGTCCCCAGAGCCCTCATTGTTTCCTGGTGACCCCCTACTGCCCATTGCCTCCCTGATAATTGTGATTCTGCCCAGTGGGGACAGTGGCAGAGAGGAAGCATACAGGGCAGGCAGGGAGGGCTGCCTAGAATAGGCCCTTCAGGGTTGTGTCCTCCAGAGTGAAGAGATGAGTGGCTGATGACAGGATGAGGAGGCCAGGCACATAGTGGCATGAGCAGAGGCATGCAGGGGAGGGCTGGTGTTCTTACCACGTACTTCCTCCCCTGGAGGATGTTGAGCCGTGTCTGGAGACAGTTCTGGTGGTCCCACATGGAGCAGGTGTTGTTGGCATCAGGTGGGTGGAGGCCTGGGATGCTGTTCAACACCATGCAGTGCCAGGTTAGCCCCACCACAGACACCGATATGGTCCCGAATGGCAGTGGTGCTGAGATGCAGAGGCCCTGGGCGGGGAGAGACGTGGAGTCAGGAAGTCTCATTCTCATCCAAGTTCCCCCAGGCAAGTGCCATATCTTTGGAAAAGTTACTCTTCCCGTACCCCTGCTTCCTGCATTGAAACCAGAGGCATAAAGCATTCAGCCTGATGTAGAACACCTCCCAAAGGCCATCTATATGCTTGAAGGGACTGCGAGCAATTTGGGCTCCCTAGAGAGTGAAGTGGATGGAGTCCCTGGAAGCTGGGATGTGGTACAAGGACCTGTATAGGCCACAGGAGGTTCCATGTGCCAGTCTAGGGGACAGGCTTAGAGTGCATTCTAGAACAGTCCCCTTGTAACCCTAGGGAAAGGATCGGAGGCAAAGAAGCCAACTGGAGGCTGTGGCCTTTGTGGAGTATTGGAGAGGCCCAAGTCAAAGATGGTGGCAGGGCTGGGGAGGGGTACTTGCGTGGGAGAAATGTCCCTGGGCTGATGTTGCTCATGATTGACTGAGAGGGTAACCAGTGTATGAAATACCACCATGTTTGGATGCTAAGGGGTCTGCTTGGTTCTAGGTACTGGTGCCATACCCAGTGTTGTCCGAGTCGAACAGGCCTGCTGGTTTGAGTTGGGGCTGACTTGGGTCAGGAAGTTAGTGCTTTGATTGTGCTTTAGAAAAAAAATCTGGCACCTGACCTTTGGCCCAGTATAGAAACTCTTACCTGCCAGCCTCATCTTCAAAGTGTGAGGTGGGCCATGCATCCTCAGTGGCACCTGCCTCATCATCCACCAGTGGGAGAGGAGAGGAGACTTGGCGGACCTCAGCTCAGCACAGTGTGAAAGGGGGGGGGGGCAGTTTGTGTTGGAGCAACACCTGTGCCAAAACCAAACCATCTTTTCTGTCCAAGAATTCCTTATAAGACGGTAAAAAAAAACAAGGTGGACCTGGTTATTATTATGATTGTACGTTAGAGAAAATGAACATAATGTTAACGGAAAGGATCTTGGAATTAACAATACTTCCTCAGCTGGTGGTTTTTCAGACAACCCACCGACTGGTTCTTAAATGTATTTTGATTGCCTTGTCGTAGCCCTGGTATGCCCAGAGCACTCAGAATCTGAGTTCTGGCAGGCATGCTTCCTTCCCCAGTAAGCCTTGCTTTCTTTCCCTTGCAGGTCTGGGACCTCAGTGACATCGACAAGGATGGGCACCTGGACAGAGATGAGTTTGCTGTGGTAGGGCCCTGCTGTGACTCTCTTTTCCCACCCTACTGAGGAAGGAAATGTATAGTTCATGTGGGATTTCTGGAGTCTTTTTTTTTTTAATCTGATTTTTAAAAATCAGATAAAAATTGATATATTTTGGATTTAAAGAAAAGTGGCAGTTAATACAGAGAATTCTTTGGAATACCCTTCAGTAAAATTCCCCAGTGGTATTATTTTACCACATTGCTTTATCTGCTTCCTCCTTCCCTCTCTCGCCATACATATGTATGTATACACACCTAAAATTTTCCTTCGGGCCGTTTTGGAGTAAGTTACAGACACCATACTGGTTTGTCCCAGAATACTTCAGTGTGTATTTCCTAAAACCAGGAAATTCTCTTACATACCCAGCGTCCAATTCAAAATCAGGAAATAAACATAGACAGTGTCTATCTAATAATTATAGTATCTGTTGTGTGTCTTGTCATATAGCTTCCATATTAATATGTCCTTATGTATTGTCTAAGAATATGACTCAGACTGTACCACTTTCCCCAAACATTCTTTGCAGCTAAGAAGTTCCAGCCTCCTTTGTTACATTCCACAGTCTCTTTCCTATCCTCTAATCTGGAGCAACAGCTCTATTTATCTCTGTGTCTCATGGGCCTGTGGGCATTTTGAAGAGTGTAGGCCAGCAGTTTGTGGAGTGTCCCTTAGCTTGGGGATATCAGCTGTTTCCTCTGACGATCCAGGTCATGCCCTTGTGTGGGGCAGGACTCCACTGAGGTGATGCTTGTTACTCTTGGGGTCTGTGCCATTGACAGGACCTGTGCTATCTTCTTGCCCCGTTGTCGACATGGTGTCCACCTTGATTGTGGTCGGTGGAGGCTGCAGGTTTCTCCCTGCAGAGTTACTCTCTTCCTGTGACTCTGTGTCTTGTGGGAGACACTTGGAAATTGGACACTTCATTACTCTTCCACCTCTCACCCACTAGTTCTCATGTCCTCCCAGGACTCTCACCTGATTGAAGATTATGGTGGTTGCCAGACAAGTTTCTAATTCTGGCACTTTTTGCACATTTTTAGTTAGCCTTCTACTATAAGGAATTTGTGTCATAGTGGACTCATGGCTGTATCCTCTGTTCCACGGTTTATAATCTTTTAGTTGTGTGATTTACTCTGCCCATGTAGAGCTCCTCCCAGCTGCCTCCTTTGTCCTTTGGTCCCATTCCATCATTGTCAGAGCACTTGGCTTCCTTTTGGCATGGTGAGATGGCTGATGGCTCCTTCTGTATATTTCCTGCCCCGACCCTGTTTCTCCTGGGAGCCCTGGTTCCATGTAGTGGAGAATGGTGTTAGAAACCAGGATGTGGGCTCTGGGGTGCTCAGTGCTCCTGGGATAATCCACTGCTTCCAGGACCTCTCAGTAGACAGAGTTGGGAGTAGGTGTACATGTAGACGTACCCAGCAGTTGCTCCAAGGCACCACCGTCTATTTTCAGGTCTGCTTATGTCCAACCCTGGTACTCCTGCCCTCTTCTCCTTTTAATGGCAGTGATGTCTGTGTGTTGATCGGGGCTCTCCTGTACTGTAGGCTGCCTTCCCATGCAGCTGCTCCCTTCACACCCTTCCAGCTCCCCACCCCCTTCCTCTTCCGTGACCTAGCGGCCATGCTCAGGTCCTCACATGCCAGCCCTCCTCACCCTGGGCCTGTGTCATTCTGTCTCCTCTTCTTCCTCTCTTCCCTCCACCTCACATCTTTGACCTTTTCCATTCATGAGATTTATTCACTCACCTTGTTCCCTTGAATCTCAAAGGAGAACAAAGTAGCTTTTTGTAGTTAAGGGCAATATGTTTTAATTTTTTAAAAAAGATTTATTTATTTCTTTATTAGCATGAATGAGTGGGCAAAAGCAGGGGGAGGGGCAGAGGGAGAAGGAGAGCAAGAATCACAAGCAGACTGCAGTGAGACCTCACAACCCTGAGATCACAACCTGAGCTGAAATCAGGGTTGGGTACTTAACTCACTGAGCCATTCCAGGTATCCCTGTGTTTTTTTTTTTTTTTTTTATTGTGGTAAAATATATAGAACATAAAATTTATCATCATAGCCATTTTTTAAAAAATTTTATTTATTTATTAGAGAGAGCACATGAATGGGGATGGGGCAGAGGTAGAGGGAGAATCAGACTCCCTGCTAAAGCAGGGAGCCTGACATGGGGCTCGATCCCAGGACCCTGGGATCATGACCTGAGCTGAAGGCCAACACCCAACTGACAGCTGCCTAGGCACCCTGCCATTTTCAAGTGTGTGGTTCAGTGGCATACTTTTATGTAGCTGTGCAGCTGTCACCACCTCCCATCTCCAAGATCCTTCATCCTGCAAAACTGAAACTCTTTCTCCATTGAATACTAGCTTCCTTGTCTTCTAGTCTCTCGTTATTTAGTTTTTATATTTCCAGTGACCACACTTGTCTTAAGGTGCTTGTTTCATTGAACTGCTCTTGGGGTGATTTCCGGGAATGGGATGACTGGCCTAGAGTGAACCTGGGAATGTGCCCCTCTCTGCACGGCCTTAGGAGCCCCAAGTTTCCATTATTGTTTTGTTTGTATCATTTCCCATCATTTCAGCTGAGATTTATGTTGTTCTGTAAATGGATCTTATAATTGTGTCATTTGGGTTTCTTTTCATCACTTGCTGGGTTTTTAACATTCTATAGCATTTTTAAGTGATGGTAAATTTTACTTATGTTAGTGATCTGGTCTAAATGCAGATAGCACCTCAAGGAATATTTTTAAGTGGGAAGGGTTAGAATTTTGATTTTGTCCTTTTTTTTTTTTTTTTTTTTTTTTTTTGAGAGCGAGGTCTGGGGGAGAAGGAGAGAGAGAATCTTAAGCAGGCTCTATGCCCACCACAGAGCCAGACATGGGGCTTGATCTCAGGACCCTGAGGTCATGACCTGAACTGAAATCAATACTGACTGAGCCACCCAAGGACTCTTGGTGTAACAAAGGGTTTTGTTAAGCTTGAAAACAGACTTAAATCTTTGTTTTAGACAAAGTTTCTTTTCTTTGCCTGTCTGAAACAGGAAGTAAGCACAGTTCTCAGTGTATCTTTAGACTTCAAATTCTAGCACTTGGGGAGTCATCAGCCCTGGAGCTGTGTGGTGAAGGGACATGTGTGGAGTCTGGCACGATTGAATTCCTTTTGTGCTTGTGTTGGTCTTATGTGATTAAACACATCCTGGAAAAATGATGCATTGGAAGAGAATGCATCAGTAAAGGTTTATTTTTTACTTTGTTCCGCTTAGAAGTGGCCTCAAAAAGAGCAGTCATTGTCACAGCATCACAGTCCCAGAAAAAGCTTCCCTCTCCCTGCCACGGCCTGTGCCTGGCCACCTGAACGTTATTTATTCTCTTTCGCACTCGCAGGCGATGCACTTGGTGTACCGAGCCCTTGAGAAGGAGCCTGTGCCCTCTGTCCTGCCCCCATCCCTCATCCCACCTTCTAAGAGGAAGAAGACGGTGTTCCCAGGCGCTGTGCCCGTCTTGCCTGCCAGCCCCCCGCCAAAAGACAGCCTCCGCTCCACGCCTTCCCACGGCAGCGTCAGCAGCCTGAACAGCACGGGAAGCTTGTCTCCCAAGCACAGCATCAAGCAAACACAGGTATGGTGCCCTCTGCATGCGTGGCTGCTTCTCGGAGCAGCCGTGTGTACTTGCAGAGTCCCAGCCAGATGTTCCTTGGGAGCAAGTAATTTGTGACTCCAGAAAGGTAACATTTGTGATTGTGTTTTTTCAAATGATATTTATGGTTGGCACCTTAGTACCATAGACTCGCTGACTGTAACGAACATTTATTTCTTCCAGAAAACCTAGAGGCTAGGAAGTCCCAAGATCCAGGCACAGGCAGATTCGGTATCTGATGAGAGCCTGATTCTGGGTTCACAAATTGAGTTTCCTCGCTGTCTTCAGGTGGTAGAAAGGACGAGGGAGCTCTCTGGGGTTCCCTTATGAGGGGAATGATCATATTCATGGAACTCCAACCTCATGAAGTAATCACCTTCCGAAGGCCTCACTTCCCAATACCATCACATTGGGATTAGGGTTTTAACAGGAATTCTTGGGTGAGAGGCGGGGGTGGGTGGCACAAACATTGAGTCTATAGCTACAGGGATTTGGAGTTAAGTTTCTCATTCCTTTGCAAACAAATGCCATCCTTCCTCAGACACACTTAGTTTGCTCTACCCTTTGGGCTCTCTATTCCTTCTGCCTCAGGCAGCACCTCTGCTGGGCTGGTGCTTTCCCAGATTGTACCCAGCACTTTGCCTCTGCTCACAGGGCATCTTATCCAGGGGCTTTGGTGTGATCATAGCCAGTGTGCCCTGGGCTCTTTCCACCCTGCATTCTAGATTTCCCATGCCTGGCCTGTTTTGTTGTTAATTATGTATTATCTGTCTCTTTCTCCTACTCCCCTCCCGCTTAGCTTCATGAGAGCAGAGTTAGTTCTTGGTTGTAATGTCAGTGTCAGAACAACCCAGATACTTTGATGCTCAGTATAGATGTTGAATATCACAGGAGCAAGGGAGACATCTATGTCTTGTTAAGAAGACAGTGTGGGGGCTCTGACTCCCAGCGGGCAGCATCTTATATTTCAAAAAGACATTTCTTGTTCTGGCAAATGTAGCACACCATAAAGGGATCTTTTATAAAAAGGTGCCTTTGAGATTATCTAAAACATGCAAGAATGTGACCATGAGTTACATCCTGAGTCATGCCTTGCTTTCTGCCTTATTTGTGGTTTCAAAGGGAAAGCAGTGCAGGTGACATGAAGAGGGCCAGCCAGCACTGCCATGCAAATTCAGATATGAACCATAAAAGTGGAAATGAGAAACCATCTTGGTCTCAGCCTATCAGTAAGTGACACTGTTGGCTAGGAATGGCTGTGGCATTCACTTAGGCCCCCCGTTACTTTTGGCGAGCCCCCACAGATACTTCCTCAACTGGAGCAAGTGTCTTTGTGCTCTTGTTAGGATTGCAAAATGTACTTCAGCAACAACCATCAGGAAAATTTTAAAAACTAAAATTTATTACTCACAGGTCCTGCAGAGTGTACATCACACCCAGGGCCACCACAGCAAAGCCAGGGGTAGAGAGAGCGCGAGCTCAGGCATAGGGCTCTACCTTTTTGGGGTCGAGGATGGGGGCCTAGGGTTTCTTGGGTTCGCTCTTTACTGGTGAATTTAAAACATAAGAGTGGAAATGAAAGCATGGAAAGGGAAAAGTGGGGTCACTCAGGCCATTTATCTAGGACACCCTGGGTTTCCCAGGGAACCGTCTTGGGCTGGCCTGGTTCTTTCCCTAGTCGTGTGGTTGGTAATGTGTTTACTCAGGATGACTGTTTTTGAAATGGGTGCCTCAGCAATCAAAAGCGTAATGACAGGCATTTAAATTACAATAAAAAATGAATTGTCAGATACTTAATGCTTCAGAAACACAGGATCAGATGATGATTCTGTTATGCATGACATATTTTTGAAGTTAAACATTCTACTTGGTGTTGGTGGGGAAGTGAGTGGCTCATTTTCAGGAGCTCGCCACACCATAGAGCAAGAGTCCTCTCTGAGAGGGTCAAGGTGGTTTGGTCGGGGGGCTAACATAGCCCCTGTCACTGCCCCAGCTGGGCAGAGGGGCAGAGGTGACAGGGCTTTCCCTCAGGTTGGTGAGTATCTATTAATAAGTCCCATGTCCAGATGGTCCAGTCTGGGCATCTTCACCAGCTCAGCAGCTCACCAGCCGTGCCTGGCACGTCCTGGGGATGTCGCGGTGACTGTGGGACTGGCCTCTGTGCTTCTTGGAGAGATAGATGATAACCATATCAATAAACCAAGGAAGGTCAGGTAACTATGAAAAGCAGAACAGGGCCTGGCCTGGAAGCACTGGGGCGAGGAGAGGGCTGTGCTCCTACAGATGGGGTCAGCTAGAAGGTCACTAAGGAGATGATACCTGAGCTGACACCTGAATGACAAAAAGTCATCAGAGGACTAGTCTGTGTCAAGACTCTCAAGTGGTAACCTCTAGAAACAGGAAGAAGGGTGGGATGGAGTCAGAGAGGGGGCCAAGACTGATAACTTAGACCTGCACAAGCTGTTTTCCAAGACAAGCAGCACCTATGTCTGCAAAATTCTTGCTGAAAGTTCTTACTAAGTACTGCAGGTTAGGTTAGTGGTGACAGGTTTAACTGACAAGGAGGCAAGTGGGGCCAGAGTTGCTAACAGGTGCAGGTTGACCAGCCTTGTAACTCCTGTCCATGGTGATCTGGTGGCTCTCTCCAGACCCTGGGAGCATGCTGCTGATTACAACCAGACTTATGTTACCAGGGTGGGTGGGGGTGGGAAGAAATGGGTGCTTTCCCGCCCCAAGGATGGGGACAGCTGTTAGAATCACAGATGTGAGAGCAAGCAGTTCCGGGGACCCACAGTCACCATGGTGTCCCCTCCCTCACTTCTCTCCCCGCCAGGCAGGAGCCACCAGGTACTGTCCTCCTGCCAGCTGTGGGGTGCAGCTCCTCCTAGCTACTAGGCTCTGTTGCTCTTTATTGGGGGGGACCTGTGGCTGCTAAGCCAGCCTTAAACCCAGCCTGTTCTGGGAGACCAGCTCTGAGGAGAAGGCTGTCCCATGTTGGATTTGTAGCCATGTAGGCTTCAGAGTGTTGCTGCTGACATACTCTGAGACCCAGAAATCAGGCAGCAAGCTCATTTTGTTTGCAGGTTAACTGTTAAGTTAATCATGGTCAACCATGATTCTTGTCATCCCAGGGTTGTAATCTCTTGGGAATTGTGGATCACAGAAACCAGCGTCTCCCTCAACTTATAGCTTGTCTGACCCGCTGTTACAGCCTTCTCAGGTTTCTTGGCATTTGAGGTTTAGCTTACTCTAGTTACTGGGTGTAAAGACAGCAAGCATCTTCTTCATTAGAGATCTTTTACGTGTATCTTTACGTCTACTCTGGGGTAACTTACAAAAATTCATGTAATGCAACAAGCAAAGTGCAAGTCTCTCTTGTTATCTGAACTGCTGCCTGAGCCCTTGCTGTTTGAATTTGGTCCATAAATTCTGATAAAGCCTTGCTGGACTAAATCATTTTCCCTATCCAGAATCCTGAAATTGAAATAATATGGGTACCATGGTGTCCGTTGCTTCCCACCCTTGCTTTTGGATTCCCAGTGCTCCCGTCAGGATCACGCTGGATTTGGATAGCGAGGGAGACCTGTTCAGAAAAAGCAGATGAGGAAAAACATCCCTAGAAAAAGGAGCAGAGGCACTGTGGATCTTGGTTCAATGAGCATGCTAAAGGTCAGAGGTGATGCGTCCAGAATTAGCAGTTGAAGGGGCCCGATCTTCCTGAATTAGGAGGTGCGTGGTCCCCGGTAGACCCTTGGTGGCATTTGCCCTCTCATGTAGACCTGAGCAGGCAGCGTGAGGGGTCACACGTGTAGCAGGGGCCAAGCCCCACAGCTGCCAAAATAGCACCACACGAGGCTCTCAGATTCTCTTACTTCCATCTGCCAGAGCAGTGTCGAGGGTGGTGGGGCCCTTGTGGGTGGATGGCATGCTCGCTCGGGGCCCAGATTCCCCCACCAGCGCGCAGGGACCCTGGGTTCCTGCCCATCTAGCAGACACCATTTTCATGTCCGCCTCATTGGTTGCCCATCAGTGCTGGGTGTGTGCCAACACCTCATGGGGAGATTGCTGTGTCACAGAGAACTGAGTCAGGGCAAAGGATGGAATCCGCACAGAATCCCAGATGGTGGGCATCAAGGATAACTCTGGCAGCTGCAGAGCTGTGTTTGCAGGCAGAAGACAAGAGGACCAGAAATCCTGGCATGGGAGTGGGGCTGGCTGGTTGTCAGGAGACTGTCCTTCTAACATGGGCCGTCAGGAGGGTCTTGCCTTGCACACTTGGAGCCCTTCTCTGGAAGGAGGTCATCAGCTTCCCTTCGAGCCCCCTTCACCTGCTGGATCTTTACCTCCATCTAAATATAAGGAGGAGGAGATGCTGCAATGGGCTGGGAGAGACTCACCTTGGCTGCTGGGTGAGGCTGACTGAGTGGTGTTCACTACTCTCAGCCTCAGTTTCCCCACTCAGAACAGGGCTCCTGTCTGCCCTGTTGGTTCATGGAGCCGTGCTACCCACAAGCACTCAGTAGTCCTCCCATCAGGAACACATGGAAGTGCTTTAATAGCACATGTTTATGGTGACGAGAAGCTCAAGACCAACTATTTTGAAACCCTTTCAGCCAACAGTGAGCTGGGTGGTGCCAGTTGCAGATAAGATGCGATTTGACGAGATATTCCTGAAGACCGACCTGGACCTAGATGGCTATGTGAGTGGCCAGGAGGTGAAGGAGATCTTCATGCACTCAGGCCTCACCCAGAACCTTCTAGCACACATATGGTAAGGACGGGTAGCTGGACATCTGTGTGTATGGGCCTCCTGTGGAGAGGCAGTGACTGAGGGTAGCTCCGAGGGCCCCGAGGAAGTGAGGCTGGTGCTGAAGGAAAGCAGGCGGCCATCAGAGTGCGGTAGTCAGGGCCACCTCTCCAGCCCCGCAGCAGGCCTCCAGATCTGCCTGGTTGGGTAAGGGCTGGATGAGGTATAAGCGTGAAGGCCCTTTCCCTGTTCCTAGGCATGGCAGCTCTCTCTCCACCTGTTTGGACCCTTTAGAGAGCTCTAGGGAGATATGCTTGAGTGGCTGGAGCAAGTTCTTGCTGTTGATTATGCTGGTTCTAGCAGGAGGTGCAGGCCTTTGCCACAGCCAGTTGGGGTGCACTCACCTGGCCCTGCCCCTGTATGGGGGCGGTGTGCAGTATAATTCCAGCAGCTCCTGGGAGACCCTGTGGTCAGTGACTTGGCTCCCATCAGGAGGCTGAGCAGTCAACAAGACTCTGGTCCATGCCTCAGGGCCAGTCAGGGAGCCGTCCTCACCCCCACTTTCCTGCAGGGTAGACCAGAGCAATCTTCACGGTGCTGGGAGGCCTCTTTTTGTAACTGGCCAGTGGGGAAAGTCACTTTCTGACTTTGTCTTCGGGACTTAGCAGGGCTTCACTTGGGAGTCAAGGAGAGAATTTCCATATAATTCTGGAGAGGTGAACCCCTCCAAAGAAGAGCAGTGAAATTTCGCATGTTAGTAGGTTGGGAAAATAACTGTCCTCGGCAGCCATTCATAGACGTCCACATTGTGAGGGGGGGGGAGTCCCCAACCTGAAAAAACACGCTGTTATCCTTTCTCTTCAGAAGGAATGTATGACGCACAGAGTTAATCATGAAACAGCTTGGGGAGGCTGATGGCTTCTGACAGGTCAGGAGCAATCATTCTCTGGCCCTTCAACTCCAGTGCCCACTTTGAGAAGCCAATGAAATGCATTGTCCACTTTATCACCTTGAAGTGGATATGCATGCGATCAACGGTAGTGATGCAGCACCCTGATCATAGTGTAGGGACATCCTCTCAACCTGTAAGTGGTACAGCAACAGAGAAATGGCACAGTGAAATCATGAAATATACTTGGATTCAAAGAAAGAATGCAGAAAGCATTGTGTATAAAGAGCAAAGGGAAGGGGCACCTGGTTGGCTTAATGGTTGAGTGTCTGCCTTCGGCTCAGGTCATGATCCTAGGGTCCTGGGATTGAGTCTGACATCGGGCTCCCCACAGGGAGCCTGCTTCTCCCTCTGCCTGTGTCTCTGTCTCTCTGTGTCTCTCAATAAATAAATAAAATCCAAAAGAAAAAAAAAAGCAGAGGAAAAAGGCAGAGCTGAGCAAGCTCTAAGCTCTAGAATAATTGCTGGGAAAGTAAAACGAAAGTCTCAGTTTGTCTGCAGGTACTAGGAGCTAGAGAGCCATAACTGAAATCCAGATAACATGCCCGGAGGGCTGGCCGGGGGGGGGGGGTGTTGTGCGCACAGCCCTGGAGCCAGGGTGTGCATTTGAGCTGTCATGGGTGGAGGCTGGCCAGGCACCTGGCATGCGGACCTCAGCGCCCATGCTCCTTTAGAGATAGGGAGCAAGAGAGGGCCTAAAAGAAGAGGCCTTGGCCCAGGAGTAGCTGTGGGCTGGGTGTGCGACAGAACTGGCCCTGATGTGCAGAATCCGCACATCTCGCCCTCAAACTGCAACAAGAATGAAGATGTTTCTGTATTTTTAATTTTCAAAAACATTTTAGAAAAAGATCGTTTATTTCTTTATTTGAGAGAATGCGAGCATAAGCAGAGGGAGTGGCAGAGGGAGAAGCAAACCTCCCCACTGAGCAGGGAGCCTGATGTAGGGCTGGGTCCCCGGACCCTGAGATCCTGACCCCGAGCCAAAGGCAGACACTTAACTAACTGAGCCACCCAGGCGTCCCTGAAGAGACTTTTAAAGCAGCCTTTATCAGTGATATTCAGTGGGGTCTCTGCCTCCCCTTGGCTCTATTCATTGGCTGTTTGGGCCCGAGTCTGTTTACCATTCCTGGCTCTCTTCTCCTATGAGTTAGAGAGTGGCGTCATTGTTCTGCAGTCACTATGAGTAGTGGGAAGTGAGACCCTCTTGAGTGGCCAGAATGAGACAGTTTTGTAGACCTGGAGGCCTTGTCCAACCACTTGAAGCTTTCCTTCCCATAATGGCCAGCTCCTTGGTTACTGGGCTGGTTGCAGAGCTGCTCTCTCAGGCTTTGCAGGAGTTCTGCGTGCTGCTGGTTTACATGCTGCCTTGCCAGTCAGCCAGGATGCCAGAAGGCCAAGTGAGCAGGGACACCTTAGCAGTGAGGGACTGTCCTGTGCGACATGGTCAGGTGTGGCTTTCTGGGGCCCATCTCCTCATGATGACAATCCAAAATGCTGCTGCTATCATCCCCATTAAAAGCCAGCAGCTCAGGCTGCTCACATAACCCAGGCTACAGGGCTGTGGCTAAAGACCCAAGGGTGCACAGTTGGGCCCAACATCTGTGTCCGTCAGAACGGCTGCTCCATCCTGGACCATTGCAGTTCTCCATGTACAGGCCATAGAGAGTTGGTGGCATTTCTGATTATTGCCAGTGAGATCTTCCCAGAGGGCTGCCACCTTGGCCTATGAGGTGGGGTTTGGTGGTTCTCCAGCCAGGTGAGGCCCCCCTTCCTGTCCTGACAACCCCCTCCTTAACTAGCCGCGGGGCAGGGTGCTTGGGTGGGGGGGTGTTGGGATTGCTGTCGGGGTGTTCAGTAGAAAAGAAATTGCTGCTGTGCCCCATTGTTTGTATTGTCACTGTTCATTTCTTAAAAGGATGGGTTCTGTGATTTGTACTTACCATGCAGGGCCGAATTCTTGTCTCCGATGTGTAATTAGCATCTGCACGTTTCTCCCAGGGCCCTGGCCGATACGAGGCAAACAGGAAAGTTAAGTAAAGACCAATTTGCATTAGCTATGTACTTCATTCAGCAGAAGGTCAGTAAAGGCATCGACCCCCCTCAAGTCCTGTCGCCGGACATGGTCCCGCCCTCTGAGAGAGGCACTCCCATCCCGGTGAGTACTGCTGGCCACAACCCCATCATGTTTGTGTGGTTTCCCGCGGCCTGCCACCAGGTGGCGGCAGTGGCCCGTGTGAGCAGACCAGTGCCCTGCTTTCCTTGGCTGCTTTCACCAGGGGCCCAGGGGTGGGTCTGGGGGGGGTGTCTGGGCCACTGGGAGTGTTCCAGACTGGATGCTGGCCCTTTGGCTACTGTGAATTGGAGATACTATGATTCTATCCTTCATACTAAGACCTACTAGGACCTGCTGGGTGGTAAGGTCAGCTTGTCAATTTTTTTTTTTTTTTGGTCAAACTTTTTTTAAAATATTTTATTTTTAAGTAATCTCTGAACCCCATGTAGGGCTGGAGATCCAGAGTCACGTGCTCTACCAGTTGAGCCAGCCAAGCACCCCTTAGTTTGTCAATTTTTTTTTAAGGCAGGAGGGGCAGAGGGAGAGGGAATAAGAGAATCTTAAGCAGGCTCCATGCTGAGCATTGAGCTCGGTCTCACACCCCCAAGATCATGACCTAAGCCAAAATCAAGAGTTGGATGCTTAGGCGACTGAGCCACCCAGGCACCCCTTAGTTTGTCAATGTTTAATTCTGTATATGAATTTGGTTCCAGGATGGTTCAAGTTGTCTCGGATCCGGGGAGTTTACTGGTGTGAAGGAACTTGACGATATCAGCCAGGAGATTGCTCAGTTACAAAGGTGGTTAAAGCTCCTTCCCCTGTGAACCTGGATCTCACACAGCCCTACCCTAGCTTGGCACCACAAGCACCAGGGGCCTGTGAGGCGTGCAGCAGGTTGACTATCCCAAGTTTGTGCAGCAGAAATGCAGGGCTGCATGTCACCCCGATTTCCTGAGTTGACTTAACTAAGCTTGAGTGATGGCGTCTGCGGGAGTCCCTGTGGGCTGGGGGGGGGTCTCAGGCAGGTGTTACTGGGCTGCTCCTCCCAACCTCAGGAAGGCCTTGTTCTCCCTCTGCACATAAGACCACTGAGTCTTAGGTGGCAAATTAATGGCTTAGGACCAAGAGCTAAACTGAGAGAGGTGTCATGTCCAGGTCTCTGGCTCCTCTCTGTCCCTACTGCCTCAGTTTCCTCACCTGTAAACAAGGGCTCTGGATGGGGTGTCTGCACTCTTGGAAGCTGGCATAAAGAAATGCATCCACTTTATATGTCCCTGGGATCCTCTTCGAAACCACAGATAATTCTGGGGGAGGGCAGTGAGCAGAAGGGCTCAAAAAATGCTTTGCCGTCCCTGGGCAAGGTCAGTGAGGACATGCTGAGCCCTCCTCACCCTGGCCATCGCTCTGACCACTTCCCCCTACTCCAGGGGCTTGAGTGGTCTCACTGGGAGTGATGCCTCATCATATCCGCAGATTCCACTCATGCTTAAGGGGAAGGAATGACGTAGGGTGCACGGTCGCTGGGAGCCAGCTGAGCTGGGTTCTGTGGGTGTGGACGGAATCGGGTGTGGAGAAAATACACGATGGCTGTCGTCATGTTGTCGCTCATCTGCGCTTCCCTGAAATCTTTCAATGCCCAGAGAGAAATACTCCCTGGAACAAGACATCAGAGAAAAGGAAGAGGCAATCAGGCAGAAAAGCAACGAAGTACAGGTAAGCATAGTGCCCACCCTGGGCAGACAGCTATGACCTGCGCCTCACAGGCCACGCCTTTCTGGGGGCTTCTAGGTGGGATTTTTAAGTTTCCTATAACCATAGACAGGGGTGTCTTTTTTTTTTTTCAATTGAGCTATATAAGTCACATTACATAAAATTTGCCACTTTAAAAGATACAATTAATTCAGTGGGTTTTAGCATATTCAGTATGTTGCTTGGCTGTTCCCTCTGTTTCATTCCAGAACATTTCCATCATCCTGAAAAGAAACCCCATGACCATTGGCCCTTACCCCTCTCCTCCGTGACCTCCCCTTCCAGCCCCTGGCAACTACTAATCTGCTTTCTTTTTCTATGAATGTGTCTGTTCTGGACATTCATCGTGAGGGCTTTTGTGTCTGGCTTTTTTCACTCAAGTCTCAGTTTTTGAAGTTTAGACAGTAGCTGCTAACCTTTTTCCAGGACAGTCCTGCTTCCTGGAGTGTCTCCTAGCAGGTGGTGGTGACATAGAGACTGGGGGTCTGACTGCTGAGCTCGAGCCCAGTTCTCCTTAGCTGTGTGACCTTGGGCAAGTTACTCAACACCTCTGGTTCTTGTATGACATTGGTAATGAGTGTTTTACTTTCCTGGTTTGTGGGCCTGGAAAGTGGGGTCTGGCACATGCTCAGCGCTCACTTGGGGCCCTTCTTGCTCTTCTCATAATTTGAGCAGAAGGGATTCTGCATCAGGATCAAATCAGTCAGCACTGGGCAGCAGCATCATCAAAGAGATGTGAGTTCCCACGATGCCTTGGGTCCGAATGGACAGAGAAGGCACTGCCACTGTGAGGATACTAGAGGTGGCTATGGCACCCTGAGAGTGACCCCTAAAGTGCCACTGGTACTGGTGGTCTCTGCTTGAGGCCTTTGAATGTTCTGAGCTCAGACTTGGGCCAGGGGAGAGGAGCACAGCCAAGTAGGCAGGACTCCAGCTCCACCATGTCTCACCTGAGTGACCTGGATGGGTGGCTTCTGTCCCCCCAGCTGGCAATGAGGGTCAATGCCTGGGCTGCTCACAGAGCCAAGAGAAGCAACTGTCTGCCATGTGTACCACAGGAGTGGCCAGTTCTTTCTGGTCCACCTCCTAGGGTGTAGACCCGAGCCAGGGGAACTAAGTAGCATCTGACTTTTTGGGCTCCTGAGGTGCTGGGCGGCCCTCCCCTGTACTACCCACAAGGGGACTGGAGGACTCTGGGATACTAGGTGGATAGCACATTTCACCGATCTGTGGGAAATGTCATGGCTATGGTCTGCGGGTGAGGTGGGGTGGATGTGCCCACCCTGCTTCAGGACACCCATCAGTTTGTGCTGTGCAGTGTCCAGACCCTTCTTTCCTTCCCCAGCATCTCACTCTCTGTGAAGAGTGAGCAGTGAGGATGGGGCTGTAGATGGTCTCCTGGAATGTTTTGGATTGAAAAGCAGGGACTGGCCTGCCTCTGGCAGGAGGAGCTTTTTGCTCAAATGAGCTGCTTCAGTTGTAAGAGCACCTTGCAGGTGATGTTACTATTTTTCTGAAAGCCCCCACAGTACTTTCATCCTGTCACTTTATTCTCTCAGACCTCTGATTTCCATCCATGTCCTAGAATTGATCCCTCAGACACAGAGCCCACTCCTGCTCCTCTGTCACCTGCATCCCCTCATGCTCCATCCTTTTAGCCCTGTGGTGTGGTGGAGCTGGCCTTGTGTTCCCTCATGCCTGTGCTGGGCCCAGCCAGTGACAGGATGTGTGGCTGGTTCTCCCTTCCTGTTGTGTCTGGATTGCCATGAACATGCTTTGGTTTGTATTCTGGTCCCTGAGGATCTGGATGCTATGATGTCCTTTAACTACTGAGGAAACCAGTCATCAGGTCTCTGGTGCCTGCTCTGGGTGATTCTGAGGAAGATGTCAGGTCTTTGTGGTGACTTATTCTGACATCTGGAAGTACTGTCCTCTCTGGTCTGCGCTAGGTGCATTCAGGCCAATTGGAACCCTAGATGGTGGGCTCTGATGGCACACACCTGCAGCCTTTGAGGTGCTAGGGTTCTTGTGTGCCCTGATAGCCCCCCCAGAGCGGGGAGGGAGGGAGCCCAGCGCCAGCCAGACTGGCCCTTGTTCTGTGGGGGGCCTCATTTGTAAGCAGGCCAGCCCGGGGCTCTGCTGTAGTGCTTAATGGTAGCTTTTTGGTCATAGAACACTATTTTTTAAAAGTTCCCCTGTGAAAACCAGGTTTGGCTTTGGTTCCTGCCACCTTTCCCCACATGAGTCTGGCCAGATGATCACTTGCCACACCCGCTAGCACAGTCTTTGGGTTGGGCCCCCTATAGAGTATGGGTCCTTTGTCTTCAGGCCTGTTTATGTTTGGTTTTAGGCAGCCAATGCTTTGGCTTCAGCCCCCACTGTCCTGTTCTCATGGTACCCCTTCCCCATCCTCCAATGGGGTCTCTCACTTCCATTTCCATCGCTTTTGTTCTGGTGAACATCTGCAGCATCTTTGCCTGGTTTTTCATTTTATTTTCTTTCTATGAAAACAGTGTTACTGAGATAGAACTCACACACTACACAATCCATCCACTTAAAGTACATAATTCAGTGGTGTTTCATGTGTGCACAGAGTTGTGCAACCATCACCACTATCAGTTCTTCAGCACTTTCATTACTCCAAAAGGGAGCCCCATCCCCATTAGCAGTCCTTGTTCCCCTCCCCAACCCCCCAGCAGCCACTTGTCTACTTTCTATCTCTGAATTTACCTTATCTGGACATTGCATGTAAATGGAATCATACATTGTGTGGCCTTTGTGTCTGGCTTATTTCACTCTGCCTTGTGTTGTCACGGTTCACCACATCATAGGATGTCTCAGTGCTTTATTCATTTTTATGGCTGAGTAATACTCTGCGGTATGGCTGGACCACATTGGGTTCATCTGTTCATCCCTTGATGGATATTTGGGTTTTTCAACTTTTTAGCCATTGCAAATGATATTGCTCTGAACTTTCATGTGCAAGTCATAATGATGTATGACTTCACTTCTGTTTTGTCTATTACCTAGGAGTGGAATTGCCAGGCCGTATAGTAACTCTATGTTCAACTTTTAGAGGATCTGCTGGACTGTTTTCCAAAGTGGTTGCACCATTTTACTTTTTTTTTTTTTTTTTTTTTACCATTTTACATTCTAATCTATAATGCATAGGGTTTCCTGTTTCTCCATATCCTCTCTAACATTTATTTCCTATTTTTTATTTTAGCCTTCCTAGTAGGTATAGAGTGGTATCTCATTGCCCCCAATGCTCTCTCTCTCTCTTTTTTTTTTAAAGATTTTATTTATTTGAGAGAGAGAGGGAGCATGAGCTGGGGGAGGGGCAGAGGGAGAAGCAGACTCCCCTCGGATCAGGGAGCCTGATGTAAGGCTCAATCCCAGGACCCTGGGATCATGACCTGAACTGAAGGCAGACGCTTAGCTGGAGGAGCCATGCAGGTGCCCCACATTTTATCATTTTAGCTCTTATATTTAGATCTTTGATCTCTTTTCAGTTAATTTTTGTGTATGGTGTGAGGTAGGGATCCTACTTCATTCTTTGCATGTGGAGATCCAGTTGTCCCAGCATCATTTGTTGAAAAAACTGTTCTTTCTCCACTGAATGGTCTTGGCACCCCTATTGGATAGCACTTGGCCATCGATGTGTGGCTTTATTTCTGGACTCTCAATTTTATCCCGCTGATCTACCTCCATTTCTGCTTATGTCAGTACCATACTGTCTTAGTAACTGTAGCTTCTTAGAGGCATACCTCATTTTATTGTATTTCACTTGATTGTGCTTTGCAGATACTGCATGGGTTTTTTTTTGTTTGTTTTACAAATTGAAGGTTGGTAGCAACCCTGTGTCAAGCAAATTTATCAGCACCATTTTCCCAGTAGCATTTGTTTACTTTGTGTATCTCTGTCCCATTTTGGTATTTTTTGCAGTCTTTCAGACTTTTTCATTATTGTTATATTTGTTATGGTGATCTGTGATCAGAGATTATGACTCACTGAAAGCTCAGATGATGGGGGGCAATTTTTAGCAATAAAGCATTTTTTAGTTAAGGTGCGTATGTTTATTTTTAGACATAATGCTATTGTATACTTAATAGATTGCCGTATAATATTAACATAATTTTTATATGTACTAGGAAACTAAAAAGTTCATTTGGCTTGCTTTTTTGTGACATTTGCCTTATTACAATATATCTGGAGTATGTCTGTTGTAAATTTTGAAATTGAAAAGTATGAGTTCTCTAACTTTTTTTCTTCTTTTTCAAGATTGCTTTGACTGTTCTGAATCCCTTGCATTTCCTTATGAATTTTGGCATCAGCTTGTCAGATACTGCACAGAAGGCAGCTGGGGATTCTGGTTGGGTTTGAATTGAGTCTGTAGGTTGTCTGGGTTATTTCTGTGTTCTCTTGCTTAAACATCTCCCCCTTTCTGACCCCAGCTCCTATCCTAACCATGGGGGTCTTTGTCCTTGTGGGGCTCTTTGATTCTTCCCTCTTCATTACAGAATGAGGCCAAGATTCCTTGATGTCCCAGGCTGCTGGCCACCTGGTGTCCCAGGCTACCACACTGGGCCTGACCCTCCTCCCTGCTTCGTCTCCTCCTCCTCCTTTGTCACTTGTTCTTCCCTCAGATGTGGCAAACCCATGTCCTGGACACCCTACCACCAGTCTCTTCTCTTCCCCAAACTTGTCAGACTGAAAATCAGCTTCTTGAATTAAAGGGCAGGGAGACTGGGGAGCAGAGAATCCAACTTCCCAGAATAACTCAGAGGTGTATTTTGGCTGTCTAGAGAGGAGAGAGCCATGACATTTTTGTCCTTGAGGTAGAGGGGAGACCCTGTGCCTACTTTGGGTTTTTTTCCTAAAATGGCACCAGCAACGCACAGCCCAGGCCAGCCCTGGGGGTTGATCTCACCATCCCTATCTTTCTGTACCCCCAAAGGTCCCCTCAAATCTTTCCTCTGCTTTGGTTCCCATGGCCACCATCTCACCTAGGCCCAGGTCCTCTCCTGCTCCCTTCATCAGCCCCCTTGGCTTCCATCTTCTCTGCCCCATCCATTCATTATTTTAAGTTTAGTTATAAGACGTTTGATAAGACATTTGCCTGGTTGGAAACTGAAAGGCTAGACACTTCCTGCTGTTTCCTTTGGCCCCTCAGAGATACAGTCCGTTAGCTATCATGAGGCCTTCCAGGAAGGTCATGTGCATGTTTAAGGGGAGAGATCTGTGCATATTCTTTCCTTCCTGTTTGCACGAATGCCACAATACAACATACACATGCATTCTGCCTTGTGCGTTATTTGCTTCACTTTGTACCTCAGAATATGAGGTACAGCTTCCCTTAGAGTAACCTTTCCCTAGGGTTAGCCAGGCCTGCCTGGTAGAAATTTACATTGCTTACAGGTTTTGCTGCATGTTGTCGCATGTGCCATACATCTCTAAGATGCTTTTCCTAGAGGTCTCATAATTAGATCCAAGGGTACCTGCATGTTTCCCCTTGATAGATGCTGCCAATTTGGAGGAGTGTTAGCAGTAAGAATTGTCATGTCCCAGGCCCATACTTGAACTTCCTGCAATGGCTTCCCTCCCCAGAAGCAAGTGTGGTCTCTTTGGTGTGGCCCTGCTTCCTTTGGCTCAAACTAGAGCCCAACATCCGTTCCCCACCTTGGGGGCCCCCTTGCAGCTCTCCACCGCCGGGTTCCTTTCCTCCTGGCTCTTCACTTGGTTGCTGCCTGCTTGCCCTTTGGGTCCATCCTAAGTGGTGCTTCTCTGGGGGTTCCCTCTGTCCATGCAGCATCAGTCCAGTCTCCCTGTGTGCCCCCTGGGTCCACCCAACAGCACCCATGCATTCTTTTGGTTCCATTCCTCCCAGTTTATTTGTGTTTGGGTAATGCCTCTCCTCTCCCCACCCCTGACCACATGTCACTGGACAGCTCTTCTTGCTGGGACCCAACAACATTCCTGGCCCCTGGCCTTTCTTAGGCCATCAGTATGTATTTACCAAGGAACTTAGTGAGAGATCAAGCCACAGCCACCAAGCCAAGATGCACACATTTACAGCAGGTGTGTGCAGGATGCCTGTTGAGCACAGACTGGGGACAGGGGGCGGTTTTATAGGATGTCCTGGGGGCTCCAGCCCAGGCTGAGACCAGTTATCTTGGATGTGCCCCAGGCACCTCAGTCTCAAGTAAATTGATGCAACTCTTCCCTAGGAATTACAAAATGATTTAGACCGGGAAACAAGCAGTTTGCAAGAGCTAGAAGCTCAGAAACAGGACGCCCAAGACCGCCTTGACGAAATGGATCAGCAGAAGGCCAAACTCCGAGACATGCTGAGCGATGTCAGGCAGAAGTGCCAGGATGAGACCCAGATGGTAAGTCTCACACCCAGCACTGCAAGTGCTTTGGGGGCTTCCTGTGGGCTTCTTTGAGCTCACAATGACCTTGAAACACAAGGCTGAAATATTCTCCTGGTTTAATAGAGTTGCTGGACATACAATTTGAGAAAGCAACCAAACATTTGTGGCCTGACCTCAGTCTCTCCCACTGAGCCATATGGTGAATGGCCTTAATCCCTACTAACCTGTGTGTGTGTGGACACCTCACCCTGGCCCCTGACTCACAGCACAGCAGGGCCAGCACACCCCTCTGCCCACTTTGGTGTCTTCACTGCTTGTTACAGACTGGGGGCTGCAGCCTCAGCAGATTGTAAAGCCCTTATGTCCCCCCTGAGACCTTGTACGGGGATGTTTAGCCCCTGTGAGACAGACATTGCCTTTGCTTATCCCTGGTCTCATTTTTCCTTATCCCAGATTGACTTTCTGTCAGTTACATGGGCATGAGCATGTTTGCCTTGTTTTTCTCTGTTTTGCAAGTGGAGAGAGAGCCCTAGAAGGAAGCCAGGTGTCTGGCCATCAGAATGGTATCTGCCACTGAGTTAGCTCATTCCAACAATGTGAATTAAGACTTCTCCCTTGGGGAGCCTGGGTGGCTCAGTTGGTTGAGCGTCCAACTCTTGGTTTCGGCTCAGGTCATGATCTTGGGGCTGTGAGACCGAGCCCCACATCAGGCTCTGTGCTCAGCTTGGAGTCTACTTATCCCTCTCCGTCTGCTCTCTGCCCCCCCCCCCCCCCGCACCACCAATTGCATGCATTCTCTCTCTCTCTCTCTCTCTCAAAATAAATTAGATCACTAAAAAAAAAAAAAAAATTCTCCCTGAATCATATTTTATCTCATTTCAGATTTCCTCGTTGAAGACCCAAATCCAGTCTCAGGAATCTGACCTCAAGTCCCAGGAAGATGACCTGAACCGGGCTAAATCTGAGCTGACCCGATTGCAACAGGAAGAAACCCAGCTGGAGCAGAGCATTCAGGCTGGGAAAGTTCAACTGGAAACAATCATCAAGTCCCTAAAATCAACGCAAGACGAAATCAACCAGGTATCTTGCTGAGGGTGGGTCCCTGCCTCTGCTAGTGGTGGCTGGGAGTGGTTGCAAGTGGAGTAGCTGCTGTGAATGGTCACGTTGGTATGTGACCAGCCTGTGTTGGTCTGTACCTGCTCCAAGGCCACTTGTTTCCTTTGGTGTCACCCACTTCATTTACATTAAGTTCTCTTCTTAGAAGCTATTATTCTGGCCTGGAGGGTAAGATCCTAGCAGTGTCTTCCAGCGTCATGCTGACTGTGGCCCCAGTGGCAATTTGCTTTGCCTCGCCGTCCTTCCACTTCCCCTCCTGAGTGCATGTCATTTTGGGGGAATGGACAGGATCTGCATGAGGACTTTAATGCTCCTTTGGAGAGAGTCTTGGGTGCAGAAATACCTTTACCAATGTGGTTCTCAGACAAGCAGGAGGGACAGTGTCCAAGATCTGTTCTAGCACCTCTCTATCCGCATGCAATTTGAGGACTGGCACATTGAGGAGGCCCCACTGTATGAAGAGCATCACCCCACGGCGGGTCCTTTTCCAGTTCTTCAAGCTTTCTGGGCACTCCACCCTTCTCCTGCTCTGGTCTGAAGGGCTAAGGCCTGCAGCAGCTGCTCATTAGCAGAGAGAGGGCTCCTTTCCTGCTCCCCTGGATATAATGGCCCTTGGTGTCCCATTTACAGAGTGGGGGCGATGCTTACCTTTGGCAATGTCAGAATGGCTAGTCATGCTTCCTCTCTTGACTGGCTTAATCTCTTGCCCTTTTTTTCCAGGTTACAGACAAAAATTGACCACAAACATGTCAGATATTTCATACCCTGTATTGTGTTTCATTCTTAAGTAATAGGTATAGAATTCTCTTAGATTTTTTTCCTCCAAGGAGTAAGAATTTGTACAGTGTAAATAGGAACCGAGAAATGAGTGTGTGTTAGTAATAATAATGGTGATATTCGCTGGTGCCTATTAACACCCCCTCTGCCAGATATTGCAGGAGGTATTTTACCCAGCATTTGCGGTGGTCCTTTTTGGAGAAGAGCAAATAGAGGTTTGGTCACCAGTCAGAGGTCCCACTGTGTGGATTAAGTCAAGATACATTTCTGGATCTATCTGACTTTATGGATTGTCTTAATTTCCATGGCCTCACATCCCTCTCTGGGGTAAGGTGGGCAAACAGGATGATAAAAACCCCATAAAGGAAAATGTCAGCTTTTGTCAGGAACAGATTGTGAATCTTGATCTTACCAGTTTCAGTTTGTTAAGAATTGGCAAATGTTTGTTTGAACATGGGCCTCCCTCAGGGGCCAAAGATACCAAAAGGCCTCGTGGGGCAGTGAGAAGGACTTCGTTTTTACAAGTGGTCTCGATTCTTGTATACTCTGTGGGTAATTCAGTTACCCACGTGAATCACTTGGGGTCGGGGAAAAAAATGTCTTGCCTGACACTTTTCCCCTAAACCCCGTGTGATGTCAGCAATCTTTGTTGTGTAGGCAAGAAGCAAGCTTTCCCAGCTGCAAGAAAGCCACCAGGAAGCCCACAGGACCCTGGAGCAGTACGACGAGGCACTCGACGGGGCCCACGGTGCCAGCCTGACCAACTTAGCCGACCTGAGTGAGGGCGTCTCCCTGGCAGAGAGGGGCGGTTTTGGAGCTATGGTAAAGGTTGAATAAACGTATTCCAGTCCTGGAATTAGGGCCACGCTGAGGTCAGAGAGTGCCCTGCCTGCTGGATCCGGCACTTGCCAGCCTTGATTCTATCCAAATGCAGGGTGTTTCTTGTTCTTGCTGCTGCTTTGTGTGTTCCCATGGGCTCTGCAGCCCAGGGTATATGGTTGTATGCCACCCTCGATTCTGAGACAGAGTGAAGGATGGGCCTGAATCCTCTGTAAAACCGGTTTTTAAAGGCCGTTGTCTCTGGTAGGCCAACCACCCAAATTTGGAGGGCTTCCCAGACTTAACAAAAATTGAATCAAGCTCTCACACATTGTGAAGCCCTATACCCTACTAGCTGGGGAGACCAAGTGTCTGTGTGTGTGTGTGTGTGTGTGTGTCTATGTGTCTGTGTTCCCACAGGGACAGTCTTGAAAACCGAATGTATTGCTAAAGGTCAAGAAAAGTGACAGCCATTTTGAGGCACTCCTGTTTGACCTATGCACTGCCCTCTCTCTCTTGCAATTCTTATGCTGAAAACCTCAGCACTTTCTGACCCTAGGGGCCCCGGTCAAGGCCCAAGGGGCTGTTGGCCACCTATGTTTCTGTGGACTGTAGGGCTGCTGGCATCCAGCCAGTGTTACTTTCTCCTTGGTTTGTCACATTCCCTTGTTCCTGCCAGAGCCTCCTCTCACAGCCCTGAGCCCAGCATTTCCACTTTAGTCTGGCTGATGAGAGCATCTTGCGTCCCTCAGGGACCAGTGGGATGCAGTTGGTCTCTTTGGTTTGGTTGTGCTCTGCTTCCAAAACCTTTCACTGCTCCCCCTGCACTGCTGTCCGGCCCCCGTCCAGGAATCCTCTGAGCCTGCCTTTTCTGCTCCTGACCCTGTTGGCTTCACAGATTCCTTTTCCTTCCTTCCTGTAATAATACAGCTCCTTGCTCTCTCAACTAGACACTTAGCTCTTCCTGTTCACTTCTTGATGTGTTTCTTTCCTCAGTAGCTGAGTACTCAGTCCCGGGAATTTATGGGGGAGCTTACACCTCCTTCCCTGAATAGCTTACAAGATGCTGTTGCTGCTCTCATCTGTGTCCTGTCTCTGGCTCTTGCTGCTTCCTTCTGCTGTTCCCAGATTCCTTTTTCTCGTGGAGTTGTAAACAGGTGAATTCCATACCCACCCCTGGGCCCATGTCAACTTGATTGTCCAAATGTAGACGACCAACATCCACTCTTCGTTAAATGCGTGAGGCAGAATTGCCTGCTTGGCTGTCTGACTGTCTCCTCTCCTGGTGTGTGCATTTCAGCTTCGTGATCCTGCTTTCACTTTTCCCATCTGGCGTTGGTCCCCTTGCACAGCTTTGGGCTTGTCCTGTTTCATCTTAGTTCATGGGACATCTCACTCTCAGACCCTTCTGCAGATTCGAATAAGATCGGTTTCCTTGGATGAAAAGTTGGCAGCGAAGTGGCAGTTCACAAGTGGCCAGTGATTTCTCTCCTCCCCCCGAAACTCCCAGATTTTTAATCTTTCCTGATTTTCATTCATCTTGTAAGCGGGGCAGAGTTTACATGATAGTCCATTCGTCCTGGAATGTCAACGTCAGATATGTTACATAGAAACTTGCAACTGGTGTCTGAGAGAAAAACTATTATTTATCTTGTTGTACAAATACAGTTTTTAAAGCACTTTTTGGTTTGTTTCCTTTTCTTAATAAATACTTTGAAGAGGACTTTTTGCTTTACTCTTGAATATTTCAAGACTGCTTCAGAGAGCTGAGTTCTCTTCGAGGTGGGTGAAAGTGAGGGGTTTATTCCCCTGAGAATAGTAACCAAAGAGGTGCATCTAGAACTTTCTAAGGCTGGACAGTTCTACTAAAGTTATTAACTTCCGCATTAAGCTCATACCACATTATTTGGTCTAAGAGACGGAGAGTTCTTAAAGCCAAATTTTTTTTTTTTGTCTCTCATCTGATGATGAGAATGCTGGCCTCTTGCCCTTGAAGACAGCACCCAACCAACCTGTCTAGTAGAGAGAAGGTAATAAATCATCCCAGACTTACGCCTCACCAAGAACTCATCATGAAAGATTAGGTTGTCTTTTACATCCAGCCTCACTGGTGTGTTGGAGTCATACTTTTCTTGAATTTCAAGAGCTGATTATTAAATAGGAATTTTGTAGCCTGATTGTTCAACCTTTGGTAACTTAGATTCAGCCACAGTGGGAGTATTTATACCATGGGAACTAACAGAAGCTACCAATCAGGCCGCCCCCGCCCAGAGAGCTGGTTCACCAGCACACCACTGCCCAGCCCCCACCTAAAGGGAAGGAAAGTCACAGAAACTCCTTTCAGAGTTATCACATCTGTTTCTTAAGTGCAGAACTTAAAACTGGTTACTGAACTCCATGTTCGAGTTTTACCTCTGCTAAGGAATCTTTAACCCCGGTGCTTGTCTGTTATACTTGTGTCTCCCAAGTGGCACAGGTGGCTCAGTTCTCAATGATAAGTGCTCAGTGGATGGTAGAGTTTACGGCATCTCTGCACCAGGGGAAATCTAATTTTCTGCTCTGAATCTGTGAAATGGAATCACAACCACTGGTGGTTACCTCACATACATGTTGAATCCTACCGGGGGCTCTTTAGACTTCGCCTTTGAAGTGGGAGAGGAGGGTGCGTTTGCTGCCTTAGGTAAATAATTGCTCCTGAGTAAGATTGTAGACCTGACTTTCAGTTCAGGGGCTTGCAGCCAGAACTCCTAGAATCACAGTCTTTCCCCTCTGCCATTGCCCACCATTATTTGGCAGGCTTCCAAGTGATGATTGAAAACATTAAAAATAACAAAAGCCTACCAACTTGTAAATTAATACTATTAAAAACTAAATAGAAGCTTCCAGTCAAAAAAAAAAAAAAAAAAAAAAAGAAGAAGCTTCCAGTCTGAGACCAAGCTATCACTCCTAAATGCACACCTATATCCAGGTCATTATCTCTCTTTGTTCTTCTGGAACAGATACATCCCTTCCCCCATGGTACCTTGTGAGACATTGATTTTCCATCTTGGCCTCTCAGCTTCTTTAGATTAGGACTTCTCCCTCATGTTTATCTGTGTCTGAGAGGCCCATCAGATGCTTGCTGGATGCATGCATCATGCACATATTAGCACCATGATGTCCTTAACGAACCGCATGCTTCCTCCAGATGTGGTGCTTGTGCATATATGTACTTACTTGCCTAGGAACTCTGCTTGGTTTCCCTACCTTGGGAAGCCCTGTGGTTGGAGGCCGCAGATGATCTTTCCCAGGTAAGAAAAATCATTCCATATTCATCAGAGGGCAGGGGTATTGGTTGTCCTTCTGAAGCCTGGGGCTTCCCAATGGCCCAGTGCCTCTGACAGCCACTCTGCCTTCCAAAGTCAACCAGTCCAGAGGGCTAGGAGCCTTGTCAGGAATCTTCATTTGGCACCTTTGACGTCATTGCCCTGTAACCATGGTCTGTATTTTCATGGAAGCCCTGGCTCTTTAATTATTTGGCTTTGGAATAATGGATGTTTGCTAGCCTCACGGCTGCTGACACATCTGCCAGGTTCAGTGAGGATGTTGTGCTATTTCATATCACAGTGAAACCTTCGTGTTTTCACTGAGGGTGTGTCTTTATTAACCAAAATATACTCACTGTTTCTGAACGAAGTGCATTGTTTCTGTGTAGATGACCCCACTGTCCTACATTTGGGTCATTTTCCACTATAAAAATGTGCTCTTCAAAAGCAAATCTTTTTCTTCTGGTTTAAACACGCTTGTTTGTTTCTAGAAATAAGCCTTTTTTAAAAAAAATGCAAAGCGTTGTATATGCTCTAGTAGTTCTAACTGCATAAGCAAGTCATTTCCTCCCAAGATGTAAATAGCCAGCATGTGTCTTGGTGTGGAAACAGCATTTTAAAAAATGCCCACATAGGTAGGCATTCTATGAGAAAAAGATGATTGAGGGAGTCCACACTTTTGAACAAGGCCCATGCTGTTGTCGTTGGGTGGCTTGCTAGGTTTTCTTTTTGATATTTCCAAAACTACCACTTTTTTCTCTTCTTTTTTAATATTTAAATTCAATTTGCTGACATATAACACCCAGTACTCATCCCATCAAGTACATTCCTTAGTGCCCATCATCCAGTTACTCCATCCCCCCACACCCCTCCCCTTCTGCAACCCTTTCTTTGTTTCCCAGAGTTAGGAGTCTCTCATGGTTTGTCTTCCTAATTTTTCCCCACTCAGTTTTCTTAGTGATTTTTTAAAAAAAAATTCTAATTGTGAGAAAATACACATAGAATTGATCATCTTAATCATGCCTAAGTATATTCACATTGTGCAACTAAGCTCCAGAATGTTTTCATATGCAATAGAGACTTAACTCCCTATTCTGTTCCCCCAGCCCCTGGCACCCACTGTTTTACTTTCTGTCTCTGTGAATTGGTCTCCTCTAGGGACCTCGTATAAAGTGACACTGTCACACAATATTTGTCTTTTTGTGACTGGCTTGTTTCACTCAGCATAGTGTCCTTAATAGTCAATAATATTCCCATATATACACACTACATCTGATATATCTGTCCATTGGCAGGTGGATGTTTGAGTTGCTTCCACTCAACTTTTAAATAAACTTATTTTGTGAGAGTGGTGGACTTACAGGAAAACACAAAGGTAGTACAGAAAGTCTCCACATGCCCCACACCCAGCTTCCCCTATCATTAACACCTTGTCCCTGTGAATGAACATATGTCACTGCGAATAAACTAGTGTCGACACGTCATTATGAACTGATGGCCACAGTTCTTCAATGATTTTTTTAATCATTCTCTGTAGGGTCCCACTGCTTGAAGCTGAAATACGCAAGTTGGGTAGGGAATTCTGTACTTTGCTTTAAATTTGAAATAATAAAATTCCTGTCCTGTCTCTTCACAAAATTATAGGATGATCCTTTCAAAAATAAAGCCTTGTTATTTAGCAACAATGCCCAAGAATTGCATCCGGATCCTTTCCAGGCCGAAGACCCCTTCAAATCCGACCCATTTAAAGGAGCTGATCCCTTCAAAGGTATCTTGCTTGGTGCCCACTTCATCTTTGGAGGACTGTTTACTTTATGCCCTTTAGAACTATCTGATGACTCGAATGGTTGCAAGATAGCACCTCCTGAAATGTAGGAGGAAGTGAGTTCTTGGAGCCTCCTGGGCTGCCTGTGTGTTTTGCCTCAGCCGGTTCACTACAAAGCTGAGGCGTGGGCCTGTGGTGGAAAGAGTTGAGCTCCTGCTCCCAACAGAGGTGCCCACGTTCAAGGGCAGCTGGCTCTGCCCTTAACCTCTGTACGCTTTCGTACCTAGCCTCCAGTAGAGGTGGTAAGTTCTCCCTTGCTCTCCTGGCGGGATCAGGAAGGCAATCAGATGTAGTTGCAGTAATGAGACTCCCCAGTGAAGGACAGATCCCCACTTAAGTCTAAGATTTTCATGGGAAATGTTTACCCAGAGCCACACAGGAGTCAGAAATAACTAAGACTTCTAGAAACAAGTATTCCTCAGTGTCTCTGTTTTTTTTTTTTTTTTTTTTTTTTTTTTTTTTTTTTTCAGAGCAAGGCACTATTTCCAGGAAAGCTACCTGTACGTTCCTGAGCTGGGAAGTGCTGGGGTGGGGAGAGGGCAGTGGGGGTGCCTTCCCAGTGTCAGATGTGGGATCAAAGAAAGCACCACAAGTCCAAGGGAAGAACCGGGCAGCTCCTGAAGCTCATACATGTGGAGCTCATTGTGGCTCCAGGTTGGCTGTAGGTTGAGGACGAAGGCAGCCCCAGGGTCCTATGTTGTTGCACTGCAGGGGAGTGAGAGGGAGATGACATACAAACATAAAGCATAGGGGGGAAAGAGAGGAGTGAATTCTGGCTCATTCCACATTTTCCCTGCCTCCACCACATGTTGAGAAGCCAACAATACCTCATTTCATCTTGAATGCCCCAACTAAGAAAAACTGCCTCAGCCAGTGGCTGCTCCCATGTGGCTCTGCCAAAATCATTCCTGTCGTAGAACTAAACATTCCTCTCTCCTCTCACCTAGGTGACCCATTCCAGAATGACCCCTTTGCAGAACAACAGACAGCTTCAGCAGGTAAAAGCCTTTGTTGGAAAGACTTTTTTTTTTTTGGTGGACTCATCCTCAGAGTATTTCCATTCCTAGTTCAAGTTGAGGGAAATGGAAAAGCAGCCTGTCTGCCAGGCCTCCTATGATAGGGCAGCAGGGGAGGTTAGTTTCTGAAGAAGCCTGGCAGTGGCATCACCCTCCCCTTCACGGTTGAATGCCCCTTCTTGCCAAACTCACAGCGTGATGAGAAGCAGAACTAGGAAAGTAGCTCCTGGTGGCTAGACGACTTTGCAGACATGCCCATGGCAACTTGGTCCCTTGTACCCATTTGTGTCATCTGTGGTAGCATCAGGGGGCCCCCGTGTAGCACCTGCCCACAGCTGGGCTTCAGTCTATACATGTCAAAGATGGTGGCCCTAGCAGTGGTGGCAGCCCCACGGGAGGATGGCCATCTGCACCACATGAAAGCCTAGTATCTTGTTCCCTCCTGGCGACAGCAGCTTTGCTGCATGTCCATTCACTGTGCCTGCACCCCACATTCCAGGGGAATGAATACACTGTGGGTGTGGTGTTGCAGTCGTGCTGTTTATTCATCTATTTCTTTATTTCTCTTTTTTTTTAATGGAAGCAAAACTCTTATAACACAAAACTCGCCATTTTAAAGTGACAGTTCAGTGGCATTTGATACATTCATAATGTACAACCATCACCTCTGTGTAGAACTAGAACCTTTCCATCCCCTAAGCAGAAGCCTCATCCCCATGAGCAGTCACACCCCTTCCCCCGCCCCTATTCCTGGCAACCACCAATCTGCTTTCTGTCTCTGGATTTATCCATGTTTTTATTAAAATCAGCTTTTTTGGGAGGTATAATTTTTACACAACAAAATTCACCAATTTTAAGTGTATGATTAGATGAGTTTTGGTAAATGTTTGCGGTTGTGTGGGATAGAGAACATCTCCATCATCCTGTAAGGTTCCCTGTACCCCCTACACACCACCCCCAGACCCCCGGCAATTACTGACATGCTTCCTGTCATTATAGTTTCTACTTTTTGTAGAATTTCATATCAATGGCATCAATCAGCTATGCGTTCTTTTATATTTGGGTTCTTTCACAAAGCCTACTGCGGTTTACTCATGAGGTGTGTTTTTCTCCACTTTCCCAAACACCCTCTAGATCCATTCGGAGGGGATCCTTTCAAAGAAAATGACCCATTCCGTGGCTCTACGCCTGATGACTTCTTTAAGAAACAGACAAAGAACGACCCGTTTACCTCAGACCCTTTCACGAAAAACCCTTCCTTACCCTCAAAGGTGAGTGATGCTGGGGAGGCGGAGGTGCTAAGTGTACGTGCACAGTGCTCATCCCTGTAGGGCTCGTCCTGTGTGACTCAAGCTGTCACATTCCATGGACCAGAGAGCCCATGTCAGGATGGCTTGGGTCCTGAAAAGCTCTTCTCTGTTCCTTTCTGGGACTGTCACTTCAGCTCAGGCCCACCGGGTGGCTTCTCTCTTCTGTCACCTGCTCCCACTGCTGCCCTGTCTCTGTACAAAATGAAATAAACAAAGCATCACATGCTCCCTATGACCGCCCTGGCATCTTCCTGGCAGTGCTGAAAGGATGTGAGGCATTCACATGCCCCCTCTCCATCCCCAGCATCTAGCAAACCATGTGTTTTGCACGATGTTCAGCCCAACGCACTGCATTAAATTGGTAGCAGCTGGGATTTAAAAAGCAAAAAAGTGACTCTGATTGAACAGAGAATTCTTGTGTGTAGGTGAGGATGCTGTATAGCCTCCCTTCAAGTTCTAGGCTGCATCTCCCTCTCTGCCCCACACAAGTCCTGGTTTTCCTCTTCTCCATGGACCTATTGGTCTGTTGTACTAGACCCCAAGCTCCTTGAAGGCAAGGATTAATTTGCAGCATTTCTGTTGATAGACCTATTGCAGGATCCCCCTTTCATTTCTGGTACTGATCTATGTGCGTGAACTCTGTTCTTACTCTGTTGACCAATTTTCTTGAGCTTGTCCATGAACTGTTTTTTGGCTGTGTTAATTTCCTCTTCTGTTTGCTTCTTCATTATTTTCCTCCTATTTATTTTGGGTTAGTACTTGCTCTTCTATTTCCAACATCTTAAGATTCAACCGTAGGTCACTGATTTTAGACCGTCTTTTCTAATATAAATATTTTAAAACTACACATTTCACCCTAAGCACTACTTAGCTACTTTCCACACATTTTGTTGTATCTTTGTTGTCCTTTAGTTTGAGATATTTTTTAGTTTCCCTCGTGATTTCTCTGTTGAACCATGGATTATTTATTGTTTCTAGAGATTTGTTCTTTCTTTCACTTATCTTGTAATACTGATTTTTAATTAAGTCTATTGTTAGAGAACATATTTTGTATGTTTGCAGTCCTTTTAAATTTTTTGATACCCGTGTTATGGTTCGTGTTGTAGTCCCTACCAGGTACGGCTGAGAAGAATGTTTATCTGTAGTTGTTGGGTGTCACATCCTATAAATGCCAGTTATGTCACTGTGGTTGATAATACTATTCAGATCATTTGTGTCTTTACTGTCTTTGTTTGCTTATTTTGCAGCTCTACCACTCCACTGGTCGCTGAGAGAGGAATGTTAAAGTCTGTGAAATTGTCTATGTCTCTATTAATTCTATCAAGTTTTGCTTCATATATTTTAAAGCTGTCTCTGTTGCCTGCACATTTATACTTCTTGTATCACCCTGATGCAATGACTTTAAAAAAAATTTTTTTAATGACTTTTTTATTATTATAAAAGCTTCCCTTTTTCCTCTGGCAATACCTCTGTCTTGAGATCGGTTTTATCACATATTGAAATAGCCTGTTCATCCTTTTTATGCTCACTCTTTGCCTGCTATATCTTTTTTCATCCATTTACTTTGGTCTCTCTGGGGCTTCATACACAAAGGGTCTTTTATAGTCCGTGTATAGTTGGGGTTGCTTTTTTCTCCAGTCTGGAAATCTCTGCCTTCAAAATAGTGTCCAGCCCACGAACATTTAATGTGATTATTGATATGGTTAGGTTTAAGTCTATCTACTGTTTTATTATTTATTTGCTCTTTATCCCCTATGTTTTGCTCCTCTGTCCCTCTCTGCTTTCTTTTAGATTACTTGAACGTTTTCTAGAATTCCATTTTCTAGTATCTCTTGGCTTCTTTAAGCTCTATGTATTTCTGTTATTTTTTGGAGATTGCTTTAGGGATTACCATAATATGCCCTTAACTTTTCGTAGGCTACTTGGAGTTAATATTTTCTTAGTTCACGTTAAACGTGGAGAACTTGCAACCACATAGGCACATTTGTCCACCTCCTCCCCAGCCAGCAGTGTCTCCTCTTATGTTCTAGCTGTCGTATATATAAATATGCCATAAACTCCATAAGACTGTCTTATAAGCTTTGTTTTAACCCGCTGTATGTGTCTGAAAGAAATTTTAAAAAGGAAAAAAGCAGTCTATTTTTACCCATATGTTTGTCATTTCTGATGCCCTTCATTCCTTTCTCAAGATCTGATTTTCCCTCGTGGTCCTTTTCCTTAAGCCTGAAGAACTTTCTTTGGCACTTGTTATAATCCAGGTCTACTTTGTTGTCATTTTTGAAGAGTATTTGTGCCCAATCTAGTAGCAGTTTTGTCCCATCCAGCACTTATATGATGTTTTCCCACTGCCTTCTGGCCTCCCTTGTCCTTGCGGAGAAGGCATGAGTCTACTGCCTTCTGGCCTCCCTTGTCCTTGCAGAGAAGCCATGAGTCTCTCAGGCAGTCGTTACCCTGTAGGTACCATGCTGTTTTTTCTCTGGGTGCATTACTTTACCTCTTTATATCTGCTTTTCAGTAGTTTGGCTGTGAAGCATATATATGTGGTTTTCTTTGTTTTTGTTTGTTTGTTTTCTTTGTATTTAAGCTGTTTGGGGTTTGCTGAGGTTCTTAAATCTGTAAATCAGGTCATTTACCAAACTTGACAATTTTTTGGCCATTATTTCCTTAAACATTTTCTTTTTCTACTATATTCTCTCCTTTCTTTGTGGGAATTACAATTCCTGGCATATTAGAGGTTTTTGCTGATGTCTCCCTCAAGCTCCCTGAAACTCTGTTTCTCTTCATTCTTTTTTCTCTTTTTTCTGTAGATTTGGTGAGTTATACTGATCTGTCTTCAACTTCACTTACTTTTTTCTTGATCATTTGTTATTTAGCTGACCTAGTGAAACTTATTGTTGATATTCTCCTTCTTTCAGTTTTTGAATTTCCATTTGTTCCTTTGTATAGTTTCTATTTTTCTGCTAAGACCTCCTATCCATTTCTCTTAAGTGTATTTTCCTTTATCCCATGAGCACAGTTATTGCTGCTTTAAAGTCATCCTCATCAAAGAATTCCAACATCTGGGTCATCTTGGGATTGGTTCTGTCAGTTGTCTTTTCCCTTGAGAATTGGCCACATTTTTCTGGTTCTTGTTATGCTGAATGATTTAGAAATGTATCCTATATATAGTGAGTGCTCTGTTGTGGTGACTGGATACTGTTACATACCTCCAGAGAGCCCACATGGTCTTGTCTCAGCAGGCAATGGACTTGGTGAGACTCCATTGCAAACTTACTTTCTCTTGCCTCTAACTGTGTACTTGTGACCTTAGCTGTAGGCTGCATCAGGTCTGCTCTCCCACACACAGTGCTGGGGTCAGCCCTTGTCTTTGTCAGGGCTTATCGTGAAATATCAGACTCGTGTTCTCTGCCTCTCCTTTCTGGGTCCCTGTCCCTTTACCGTGACTGCTGTTGTCCCGGTCTACCATCTTCTGGTCTTTAGGCCAGAAAGATGGTGAATTTTCTGTTGGGGTCTTAGCATCCCGAAGCCCTCAGATTATAGCTGTCCAGATGGAAGACTCAACTTTGTGCTGTTGGCTCTTGCCAAATTTGAATTCTCATCCAGAGTCTTCCTGCTTTCGTTTACTTCCTAAGCCATCAGGTGGTTTCTTGTATTCACTTATTTTTTTGCATTTTGTCCAGAGTTTATAGGTATGATCCACAAAAGGGGCCAGTCTGTTGGGATTTTACTCTGCCCGGGTTTAGTTTAAATCATTTTATCCTCTCCTGGCCAGCCCCAGATTCAGTGAATGCAGATGGCAGGAAAATCTGTGGTTGGAGGGATGGCTGGGTGAACGAATGAACTGCTTTTTACTCTTCCCTCTCTTCTTCTACTCAGCTCGACCCCTTCGAATCCAGTGATCCTTTTTCATCCTCCAGTGTCTCCTCAAAAGGATCAGGTGAGACTGGTGGCTTATTTTCCTTCTGACTCTCCCCCAACCAGTGGAAGGAACCCACCCAATTCACACTTTTGTTGCCGAAGCTGTGTGTCCTCAGAGTTTTATGTCATTAGTCAGTGGCACCCAGATCCTCACCTAAGGCACTTCATCCAGAGCTAGCTCCCCGTCCCAGCTGCTTATCTTTCCAGAAAGGAAGGTTGGCAGTAGGAATTAAGTCAGTAATAACACCAATGTTCCTGGTTACTTTTTACTCATTTCTCCTTACAAATCTTTGATTTGTACCTTCGAATCTTTTTTTGTTTGTTTGTTTTTAAGATTTTATTATTCATGAGAGACAGAGAAGCAGAGACATAGGCGGAGGGAGAAGCAGGCTCCCTGTGGGGAACCCAATATGGGACTCAACCCCCAAACCCCCAGGATCATGACCTGAGCCAAAGGCAGGTCAACCACTGAGCCACCCAGGTGCCCCATACCTTTGGATCTTTTTCCTAAAAGAATCCGAGTTTGACTGAGGGTCCTGGCTTGTGCATTAAGGGATGGGGGAGCATTTGGATCCCCCTTGCTTTGGGGAACAGGCTCTGCTTAGTCTTGCTGCCTCACCTAGCAGCTCTTGCTTATTGGTGATAGAGTTTGGGTTAATAGGTTGGTGTGTGGGTTATGCAGACAGATTGTCCCACCAAAAGAGCAAGCTCTGCAAAATCTGCACCCACAGACAACCTCCCCACATACATAGTATAGATGGTGGGTCACTGTGGAAATACACCTCCCTCCCTGACCTGGGGGAATAGTCAGCTGTGCTTCCGCACTTGTCATTCTTTTACTGACCATGAACAATGCTACCTAGAAGTACAGATATGGAGCAAGTTCCTGTGGCTTTGCCCACGGATACCATCATGGCAAGACACTTCTGGCTGAGTTGCACCAGCCATGTGCCAGAGCGGGTTGGGGGCAGGGAGGCCCTGTGGAGGGACCGCATCCAGACGCATAACCCTAGCAAGCAAATGCTGCCTTCTTGGATGTTCCGTGCTGGGGGCTGTTGAATACTGAGAGGTAGCACCTCCCCATGCCCCTGGAGGTGTGTGCCATGAATGCCTTGTAACCCTGTCTCTGTTGATGCTACTTGCAGGTCCCTTTGGAACCTTAGACCCCTTCGGAAGTGGGTCCTTCAATAGTACTGAGGGCTTTGCTGACTTCAGCCAGATGGCCAAGGTAAAGCCCCTCCCATGGAGCACGCGCACCTCTGCCAGTGTCTTTGTGCCTCTTGTCGTGGTTGTGTCGTGAGCGGCCAGGCGTAATTGTTAGCAACACGTATGTATTTCCCAGCACTGATCAGATGCTGAAACTCATCCTCACGTGAGGTTGTGAGCCAACAGGCAGGGTCTAGAAAAATGCCTGTGGTTGTGATTGGTATCGTATCCCTTCCTCTAAGTGAACTGCCAGGATACTGCATCCCTCCATGCGGCATAAATGTCGAGGGCTCTCCCAGTTCTACCAGTGTCTGTTAGTTGCCCGATCTCAGGGAATAAAGTTATGGCCGCACAGACTCAGAGAAGGTGTTAGGCACAGAGGACTCAGGAGGGTAATGGGTGACAGGCCTGGTGTGCAGGCAGCTGAGGCTGGAACTGGGCGACAGGCTGGCAGGCGGGAGGCAGCAGAGAAAGTGGGTCAGTTATGTAAGTGGGAGCTGCCTGAGAGAACCTGAGAAGGGTTTGGAAAGTGAGAACTAGGTTCTGTGAACAGAGACATTGATGAAAAGGGAGCTGTTCAAGACAGATGACATTCTTTCAGTTGTCAGGCTGGGCAGGATCTGTGTGGCCACAGGTAGGTGAATATAACTCCTGATGGTGATGGGGCCCTGTTGTGAGCAGGGGCTACGAGAGATGTAGCTAGAAAGCTAAATCTTTAATGTAGCAGGGAGTCAGTAGATCATGTCCAAAATGGACAGGTAAAGAAATAATAGTAGAAGTCCATGATTACAGATTACCAAGAAACTGGTAAGAAGTCAAAAATACCGGCCTTGGAGAGTGGGAAAGGCAGCGATCTGAGGGTCTACTGGTCTTTGTTACCATTTTTAGTGTCCCTTGCTTTTGAGTAAGAGCATATATTTCTTTGATAAGAATTTAAGGAAAGCAATGTTAGGTGTGTACCATTTTGGCCTCTGTGCCCCGTCCCCGGACCTACTTGTGCTCCACTGCTTCTTGGCCACCTCTCTGGCAGGTGAGGGCTTCCTGGAGCACAGCCTGCGGCCACAGAGTCATACTTTCTTCACTCACTCTACCAGTCTTCAGTAACCACCTGCTTCGGCCCAGGTACCATTGGCATGGGGCAGGGGTGGCCACAAGCAGAAAGCAGTCCCCATCCCCTGATTTTACCTCCTATTGGGAAGGCCAGGAAACCAAATGGTGGAGAGGGAGCTGGGGAGGGAGTCTGGGGCATGTGGGTGTGGGAACTGAGCATCTGCAGCAAGGAGTCACTTGCTTCCCGTACCCCACCAGCCCATGCTGGGCAGCCCTGCCATGCCAGCTCCATGTTCACTCAGCCTGATGGGCAGACACTTGTCTGGGCACCAAGCACTTGTGGTGAACCTGTGTGTGATTATGGCACACAGCTTTTGAGAAACATTTGAGATTCCATTTAGGTTTTCAGAGAAGCACGTGACCATACGTTGTTAAGGTAGCAAATCCAGCTTCTGGCTGGAGAGAGAATGTCTGTTTGCCCATCAGCTGTCGCAGGAGGGAGCCCAGAGGTGCTGGTGTAGCTGGCTCTCTCATTCCAGTGCCTGGAGGGAATGAGCCTCCATCCTCCGTAGGGAAGCTGTGACACTGATGGTCAGGATGCCGTCTGGGAAGGCACCAGGGCAGGAAGTCTGCTCGAACATTTGTCTGTTGTTTGGTGGCTGTTCCACATGCTCCTACTCTTTGAGTAGAGCTGTGTGTCCTCTGCTTCTGTCCCTGCCCAGCAGGCAGGAAGTCAAACTCCTAAAATCAGAGAACTTGTGCCACACGATGGCAGCAATCCCCAAATGAAGGAGTCTGTATTGTACTCTTAAGCTGTGAGAGCAGGCCCTTCCCGTCTCCCTTCAGGAGGCTGAAGCCGGTGGCTGAGCAGGTGAGAGCTACCGGTGCCCAGGGCTGAGATCAGGACAAAGGCACTGATGAGGACCCCGTTTTGAGAGGTGTGCTGATAGAGGCTGCCTGGGCGGGCCAGTCCGGACGGGCTCTGGTCGGGAGGAATGGCCTGCCCCCGCCCTTCCAGGCAGTGTTTTAGTGTCCCGGAGCTGTGGAGACTCCCCGGAGCCAGGTGGTTCAGAGCCTGGCCCTGCCTGTCTTTTCTGCCCATTCTAACCTAACCTTGCGTTTTCCCTCTGATGCGGCTGCCATCTCCCTGTCCATATGTCCCTTGATCAGGTTGCACACACACGTGCACTTGTGACTTCAGAGCCGGTGGCCCCTTCCTGTTCGCAGCTCCGGGCGGGACAGAGCTGGACGGGGCCATGGAAAATTTGTCTCTGGTGCTCCTTTGTTTGGTTTCCATGCTCCTGTCAGCGCCTGATGCTGTGCCACTTGTCCAGTGGAGCACCAAGCCCTAACCTTATAGGTCTCTGTTTTTCCCTTTGGTTCCCTTTCTGTTTTTCAAGAAAAACATGTGTATAAATAAAATGCTGAAGGAAATGAAAGTAAAGTGGCAAGAAGGCTTTTTTTTTTTTTTTTAGCTTCTTGGTTTTATGTTTTTTTGCGTGTGTGTTTTTTTCATCGCCAGCTTTTGCCCATCTGAGTGGGGTGGCGAGGTGATACACACTGGCGCCCTTTCTTAACTCCACCCTAAATTGAGGTATCCTCCTCTGCCTGGCAGTGCTGAGTGAAGTTGACAGCCAGTGAGCTGGTTCCAGCAGATTCCTTTGGGAGATTCTTCAGGCTTGAACACAAAGTTGAGGTCCCACTGTACCTGCAGAGATTTTTCTTTTAGACCATGTCAATCTGTCACCTTGCTCTGCAAATTCTGAGCATCTGAGAATAAAAACAAGACTCAGACATAATTATTTAATCCTTGCCCTGTGAGAAAAAAAGCTATCCTTGCAGTCCTTGGCTGGTTTTCAGGGCCTTTCCATTCGTTTCTCCAGTGGTGTTTAAAGCTATCCATTCCCATTTAGGGCTGCTTCCTTAAAAGTTGAGAGTCACTTGCTTTAAACTAGCTCTTTAAACTGTGAACCCCAAACATGTTCCTCTTAGAGCTGCTTTTTATAGTGGCTTTTCTTTCTTTCTTTTTTTTTATTTTATTTTCTGAGCACATTTCACACTGCGCCAGCCCAGAGAGCCCCTGCTGACTCTACTGAAACCTTTCTAAAAATAGCCACTTTCCCTGAAGCTGTAGCCTGAGGAAGAATAAGGCAGGTCCCAGAGGAGGCGTCTTGGGAAACCTGGAGTCCTGAAAAGTGGGATTCGGAAGTGACTTGGGGCTTGGCGGTGTTAGAAGTGCTACTACTCATGGTTGTGTGGGGAGTGGCCACTATGGCTGGAGCCCTGTCCCACTGGAGTGAGCCCACTGACTCAATGGGTTTGAACTCAGAAGGTGGGGCAGAGTGTCAGCCTGGCCTGTGGTGCCCTCTGCCAGCCGGGACCATCCTTCCATGTTGAGGTCCAGGCTGCAGCATGTGGGCTGGGTGGACGCTCAGTGGGTTGTGTCCAGAGGGCTCCAGGTGCCAGTCTGCATGCCTTCCCCAGAGATGGTGTGTTCCCAACACCCAAGACAAAGATTGGGGTCCATACAGGGGGCCTTTGGGCCAGTCTCCCCTTGTCTCTGCTAAGAAATTGGTTTTAATTCCTGCCTGCCCTGGTCTCAGGCTATATGGGAATTGTGGGAGCCCGTGCTCTGTTCCATGAACGGCAGAGGCAGAAACAGAATCCACGTGCCCTCCCAGCTCCTTTACCCACTCCCCGCCCCTGTTCTTCATTCCCAAACTGCAGACCCTCAACCCCCATTTTAAAGCTAAGCTGTGGCTCAACACTTCCCCTCTACTCCCATGCTACCTTCCTCTGGGTAAAGTCCATGGATAAGTGCAAGCAGCAGGAATAAAAGATCGGTGGTTAATGAGGGCGGCTGCAGATTCTTATAGGCATCTAAAGGAATTCCAGTCATGTCTGTATCCTTGGCATGATAATAATTGTGTCATCTTTGCGTCATGTTGTTGTGGTGCCTTGGAGCAATTTATATGTGACTTGATTGTGGTTTTTTTGCAGCAGCCCTAGGGTTATGGTGTGTCTTTATGGTCATTTCACAGATGAGGAAGTGGAGGCATGGAGCAGTTAGTTCCAGGGCTGGAACTCCAGATTCTAACCCTGACCACTGTGCTCTGTAGTCTGGCCGGCCAGATGTTCCAGAACCTTGAGCTGCAGGGTTTTCAGAGACTCCTCAACTTTTGTACCTGAGAGGACAAGTGGCCACAGGGCCCAGAAGAGGGAAGCAGCAGCCATGGAGGGAGGCGCCTCCTTACCCTACTGCAGTCCTGCCAACCCCATCTGCCCCTCTTGCTCAGAGCTTCCTAGGGGGCCAATGTGGTCTTGGCGGGGAAACTAGTATTCTTCTTCATTTGACCCCTGTCTGCCTCAGGGCTTTCTGTGGCCCCCTGGCCCCTAGGTCTGCTCTGCCTCTTGCTTGCATCTTTGCATGTCTCTCCCACAGGCCTGAGGATGGAGCTCTGCCTAGAACGAGGCCCCAGACCTACCTCGGGGAGTGGGCTGCCAGCAGCAGAGGGCAGAGCCCAGGAGCCCTGGCCCTGGAGGCAGACAACATGGGTTCTTACCCTGAGTCCCCCACTGAGGTGCTGTATGACTATAGGCTGTGTTGCCTCTCTCTGCCTCAGTTTCCCTGTGTGTAAAATGGAGCGGGTTGTTGGGAAGATGAGGTGAGAAGATCAGCACAGAGCCAGCATCTCCTACCCTTGAGGATCCTAGGAGCTGGTAGAGGGGAACCAGGGTGCCCAGTGGGTTGCCCAGCAGCCTTTCCTGCCCACCCCCCATACTAAACTGGCCACCTCTTTCCCTCTTGAGAGTAATATCTATGGCTGTACCTGAGGCAGAGGTTGCCAAATCAGGGTCCCTGTGACCACATTCTGGAGGAGGGGGAGCTATGTCCTGTGACCGGATCTCAGAGTCGAGACGGAGGGTCTTTCACTATCACCTGAGCTGACCCATCTGTGGCTCGTCCATCTGCTGGTGGAGGTTTGTCGTGCCCAGCACTGTGCTGGCATTCAGGATATGGGGTGCCCACAGAGACAAGTCACAGCCTGCCACAAGCCCAGCCAGCAGATGTGCTGCTCCATCACCTGTGCCCACTCACAGCAGATGCGGACAGGTCGGGGGCATGTGCTTATCCGAGTTCCACTGGGATGTCAGGTGGCACAGTTGGCAGGAAGGGGTATCAGAGATAGCTCTAGGAGCAGCAGTGAGATCTGGTCTGGTCAGGGTCTGAGGAAAAGAGGGGCTTGGGGTGGATGGGATAAACTGAACTTCCCAGCTGGAGACCCTATGTGCATGGGGCCCTGGAAACCAGGGTGCAAGGGGTTTCAGGGATTGGGGAATTGTCAAGGGGGTGGGAGTAGCTGCAGGGGTGAAATAGAAGAATTGGGTAGTGGGGGGCTGTGAGGAGGGCCCCGTGTGCTTTAACAAATACTCTGGAGGTTACCTGTGGGCCCTGGGGCTGTTAGGTGTACGTACCTACTTGTCCTCTCTACCCACCCACCCACCTGTGCATTTCTCTCCTGCTGGGATGACATGGCCCGATTTGCATTTGAGATGGGGTTGGGTAGGGGCAGGGGTGGAAGGTCCAGGCTGGAGGAGCCTGACAGGCAGCCAAAGCGGTCCCAACTGGAGTGGGGTTGGGCTCCAACCAAGCCACTGTGTGGGCAGCAGCACCCATGGGCCACGTGGGGGCGAGGAGGTCATTGCTGCCATTCTGACCCATGCCTGGAACTGCCCTTCACTGACCAGAAGTAGCAGCACACAGGCCAGTTACTCAGCCTAGAGATGGCACAGGAAGGGATCTGCAGCCAGTGCAAGGGTGAGGATGGGGCCTCATGAGCAGGAGGCCCAGGGGACCCTGGAGTCAGGAAAGACTTGATATCCCTGTGTGGGTAGAATGGTGTGTGTGTGATAGGGGACACCGCTCACGTGATATAAGCTGGTTGAGACAGAGGGTGGCTTGCCTGCTCTGTTGGCTGGCTTGCCCCTCACAGGCCAGAGAACCCTGGCTCCTGAGGGTGGAGGAAAGCAGAGGTCTCGTGAGAGACTTGGGTCCCCTGGGAGCTGTGCCGTGGAACCCAAAGGGTTGGGGGCCTCACCAAGGCTCTCAGTACTTGAGCATTGGCTGAATGGACATCCGTTGCCTCCATTTTAATGATTATTTTTGCCTCTCTTTCATGTCCTCTTTTACAGCCCCCAACTTCTGGTCCTTTCACCTCCTCCTTTGGAGGGGCAGGATTCTCAGATGACCCCTTTAAAAGTAAACAGGACACTCCCGCTCTGCCTCCGAAGAAACCTGCTCCTCCACGGCCTAAACCGCCCAGCGGTCAGTACGCTTTCTTCTCTCACAGCCACCTGCCCACCGTCCAAGGACGGCATGGGGAGGGGAACAAGGGGCATCTCTATTTACCAGCCCAGAGTGGAGCAGATGCTGGGGGACCCGCACTTGGAGCAAGAGAGTCTCCCTACTGCTTAGTGGCCTGGGTCCTCACACAGTGCGTGCCTGGGGCACGCCTGCGATCCCACCCACCCTCACCCTGTCCTGGGGCCCTTGGCTCTAGGCTCAGTGTAAGCCTTCATAGGGGGCCTCTAGAAAAGACTGGGCTCAGCCCTTGGGGCGGCAAGGTGTGTAATCAGGATCCAGTGGCCTTTCTGACCTTCCTCCACCCCGAGCTCTTTCCCAAGTTGGGTGAGGCCACCCCCTCAATCCGGTGCTTCCCTACTGGTTAAGGACTCAGAGTGCGGTTGGGAGTGGGGGTCTTCTTTGGCGGTCTGATGCAAGAGGAACCAGATGGCTCTGAGCTCCCTTCTGCTTGGCTCCTGCCCAGTATCTCTCCAGACAGCTCCAAGCAAGGGGCCACCTCTCCTGGCTGTGGCTGGTACTACCGATCTCTCTTGATCTTGGCCCTGGAGCTCCACTCTCGGGAGAGGGCCCAGGTATCCTCCTGAGGATGCTGAGGACTTTGAGCTTGTGCAGGGGCTGTGTCTTCTATGATGGCCATAGGCCAATAAGTCAGGTTGCCAGACTCAAAAGGAGAAAGCTATTGCTTCAAGTGGCAGTGATCCATTGCAATTTGCCAGCCCCACATCCCCAACCCCACCCCACCCCGACCCCGCTGTTCAATTTTTTCTTGGTGTCTTGGCTCCAGGCTGTCTCACCTATGCTGTCCCAGACTGGGGGTGGCCACAGGAGACCCACATGCTCTCTCAAAACCTTGGTCCTGCCTGAGCTAGCTCTGCCCTGCGCTTGACCTGGGGCTCCACTTGGTGGCCCCCATGAAACTCTCTAGTTACAGGTGGTCATTGGTCCCAGGGCCTCCAATCATCCTACATGAGATCTACCTGTTGAAGTCCTCTTTTTAGTAGAGATGAATGGAGGGGAAGTTATTCTTAAGAGGCTGCCTGCCCACAGTGCCCCCTTTGGTGATCCTAAGGGGACACCCCTGACAGTCTCCTAATGGCAGGGCATCGAGCTTCCATGCTCCTCCTGAAAGATGGGAGCCAAGGCATGCATACACATGCCTGCATACACACGTACAGACATGCATGGATTCCTGCTTGCGTGCATACGTGTGTGCACATGTGCTGATATACTGCTCATGTATGCAGATGTGTGTGTGCACATAGTTCCATGCACCATCACATGTACACATTCTCACAGTGCTTGCTTGCACACAGCATGTATACACACTCTCATGTGAATGTACATGTGCACACCTGCACACACAGGGCCATGCAGTATTTGTCAGTCCTCAAGGAGATACTCCATGTGCTCGCTAGCAGGTGCAGAGCTTCATGCGTAGGGTTTCTTGGAAATTCTTATTTCAGCCGCCTCCCCTTCCTTGTACAGTGCTGGGTCTGCTTTTGAACTTACCCTTCACTGTCCCCTCTCCCTTGTATTACTCTCTGCAAGCCTCCCCACCTCATTTTGGCTTTTGTTTTTAATGTATCACGCATGGACTTAGAGAGCAGAGAAGCCATCCCCGTCTTGGGAGGTTTGGGCCTGAACCCTGGAGAGTTTCAGGCTGCTTTGCTCTTGGCTCTGGGTCACTGCACCCTTGCTCTATCATGGCTGGTGAGGTGCCATGTGCCCCCAATATCCTGTTCACATCCATGGACTCTTAGGAAACACTTGTGGAACTGTTCCATAGCCAGGTCCTAGCAAGACCCACAAGATAGGACAGATACTATGATGCTCTTTTCTCAGAAGAGGAAAGGGAAGTGAGAGAGGTCACATGGGCCACCCGCTATCACATAGCAAAGTGCAGCAGGGCCAGCCCTGGACTCAGTGACCTGCTCCACCTGGACCTCTCCACCCCCATCTTTTGTAATGAGAATCAAACCATGAGGTTCAGAGTTCTCACAAATTCTAGAGAATGGTTGATGCATGTGCAGTGTTTATTCTATAAGTGGCCAGGACATACCTGCGTGGAGGTCTAAATGTCTCTCATCTGATTCTCTTACCTAGAAGCAATGGCTGATCAGAAAAACTCTGCGCTGTACACACTGCTGGGTGGTAGGTACAGACCGTGTGGTGATTATCGTTTGACCAGCTTCCAGTGGTGGCTCTGCTGTGATTTCATACTAACCTCTAACAACATGGAAATTGCTGCCCATGCAGATGCACCCCATGCGTGTTGACCTTTTAATAAGTTGCATTTGGGGGAAGCGTTTGGTTCTTTCGGGGGTGCAAAGGAAGGTGTCTGCCCCACACTGCTCCTCTGATGGAATCAAGACCCAGTGACGCACACTGCCCTCTCCATCCTTGTCCATGGTGCACAGAGCAAGGCTGCTGACTCCCCGGAGCAGCCCAGGAGTTAGCTGGTTATTAGCAGGACAGGGCAGCAGTGCTGGAGGAAGTCCTGCTCTAAGCAGCCTTTATGAAAACACAAGGCACAACTCTTATTTTCTTGGCTGTTTATGATAGGAAGCAGCCAGGCTGATGGCCAAGTTGTGTTGTTTTGTTGTTTTTGTTTTTTTAAGAAAACAAAGTCCAACAGTTTGACAGGGAATAGATTGTGCTCCTTTGCTCTTCTCACTAACCTGGCCTCCTCCCTCACGGAGAGGCCATGTGGCCAGCATGCTGTAGTGGCTGTTGCCACCTGAAATGCCATATGATCACACTCAGGGGCCTTCCTGGCATGTGGAGGGAGCTGCAGCCCTAGCATGGCAGAGTGGGGACAAGGTGAAGTGGGTACCCTGCTCGGGGGGCCCTGCAGCCCTCTTGATGGAGCCTTGATCCTGTGGCGATCTCAAATGGACAGACCAGACTTCCTGGAGAAAATGGTTTTTTTCCGCAGACCAAACACAGCTTCAAACCTGCACTCAGAGAAACCAAGGTGAAAGGACAGCTCTTCCGTAGTCTTTAGAATGCTGTCAGGCCTCTGTGCCTGGAGGTCACTCCGATATGTGAGGCCACTAGGATCTAGGAAGGTTACTTGATCAGGTTCAGTCCATGTTTCTGGATGTTGGAGCCAGGGCCTGGGTTTATGTTCTGACTCTGCCACCATCTCCTTGGGGGGCTGTAGGCAAGCGTCTCAACCTCACCAAGCCTTGGTTTCCTTCACGGAACGTAGGACCAGCTCTGGCCTAGCAGGTGACCGTTGGGGTAAAGTGCCTTTCACAGTGATTACCTGTGATGTGATGTGTGTGACATGTATCCTCATCCTGTCCCTACGGTACCGGGACCAGGACACAGGTCCTTCATCCATAAAAGCCCCTTTCCCAGGGGCAGACAGGCTAGGGCTGAGGCAGCCATATGCACACAGGGTGTTACCAGGGGACTCTTTTTCCCCACGAGATTGCAGTTTGGCAGAAATCTTTGCAGTTGAAAAAGTCAGAGCAGGGGTACTTGAACTTCAAAGAGGGCTCCAGGGTCCTTCCTCTCTGGCGAAGCTCAGCCATAGTCACTTGTCCAGGACCAAATGCACATTTGGGTCTGAGTCACGAGTGGCTTTGTTTTTTAGGTATCACCTTTTGTATTCTGTAGCCTGCAGTTTTCACATTCTGTGCAAGCTGTTTTTAAAAACTTGACCAAGGTTTACATGACAAGCGATAAAGTCACGTAAGTGTCAGCCTGTTCAGTCATAGTGGGGCCCCCCACCCGACCTGGGGGCCTCACGGAGGTTCCCTGTGGAAGGAGTCCTGGCATCCTGCATGTGTGACTAGAGCAGCCCACTGCTGGCTGTCTGCTTTCAGTCCTAAACATGGAGTTCTTGGCTTGACCCAAGCTAGAAGGCGTACCCTCGGGCCATCGAGAACCACCCATGGGGGGCACACCCGAAGCTCTAGTGTCCGCACTGAGTTCTATGCGCTTGGAGCTCTTTTCTAGAAAGGTCTATCAAGGTACTGGGTAACTAGCAGGTGCCTGTTTGGGGGAGAGAGAATTGGTTTCTTCCAGGCAGATGCAAAACAGGCCCCACTCGCAGCCTCCGAAACCTGTCAGTTAAAGCGGGCACTGGTACACCTCCCCCAGGTAAACAGTGGTGTATTTTCTGCAACGGATCAGAGACTGAGATCAGTCAGAACTCACCGCTGAAGAGTTTCTAGGTAAAAGTTGTTGATTTGCAAAGGGAGAAACAGATTTTTTTTAAGGGCAGGAAATGGCTGTGTGGGTGTCAGTGATTGGGCCTCCGCACCCCAGCGACAGATAGCGGGATCCTGCGCCCGGCCCCACCCTTGCCACTTCCTGCAAGTGCAGCCCTGCGTTCGGTCCCTGCAGCGCCCGGGTGACACCAGCTCGCGGGCCCTCACCGCTAACCATCCAGTCACCTTTAACCTCTCCGCAATTTATTACCCTTTTATTACTGCTAATGACCTTTTCACCTCCAGAATAAAGCTGTGCACATGCCTGGGGTGTCTTTTTTTGCCCCTCTGCTCCCTCCCCTCAATTCTTCCAACGAACACAGGAAAGCAAGATAGCATTTAATCTGTGTCCTGTTTGAGTCAAATGATTTTCAAAAAAAAAAAAAAAAGTGCTGTCTACCCTAGAACGTGAGTCCCCTCCCACACCTGTGTGTGCAGATGCCACACAGGGCAATTGTGGCTTCTTACTTCATGCGGTTTTCTGGCCACCGCCCACCCGCAGGCCACCCCACTTGCCCATGGGTCACCCTGTCCGTCCTGGGGGAGCTGCCCCATGGGACTCGGGCTAGGAGGGAAGCCTGCATTCCTCTGCAGCGCCAACCCATGTTCACACTCGGCCCTTGGCGTGTGCCGCAGGGCCAGGCTTGGGGGGAGCCCAGGGTGGCCATCCTTCGCCCATACGGGTCCGACCTCTTGTTTGCTCAAGATCCACTTTTAAAATGGCTTCTCCAGTTGAGCCGTGCGGTTAGCACCTCAGCCTTGAACTTAACTACTTTAATTCCGTTCCCACGATGCTTTCAAAGAGATAATTCGGTGGGTACTTGTAAAGTTCTAGAATGGGACGAGAGTGGTTCACTGCCATCACAAGAAGCCTGGAAAATCCCAGCACTTGCGGACCAGCCGGGGTCAGGGAGCCCTCCTTGCCTGCACACCACCCCTGCCAGCTGGGGTGGGGGGGTCTGTGTCAGGCCTGGGGGTGATGCCCTGGTAGCGCGAGCTCGCCGCCAGCCCTGCTTCCAGCAGAGAGAGAAACACCCTCTTCCTCCCAGCCTCTTCCTGGTGAGATGCCTGGAGACAGACTATTCTTTGGGGAACATTTCTGCTCTGCAAAGTCGGCTTTGTTTGAAAATAGAAACATTTGCCTATTTTAGCACACGCCCACCCTCCTGCACCCAGGAGGGAAGATTGAGTAGGAGTTCAGTGACACAGTTGTCACCCCTTGTTCAGTGGTTTAGGGTCTTGGAGCAGAGGAATCAGAGGCTCAGCCAGCCAGGCTCCCAGGGGGCTGTGGGGCCTCAAGGTGGGGGACAGACTCAGAGCTCCCGGGCCTCCCCCATCCTGCATCTCTGACTGTGTGAACAGATAGGAGCCACCGCCCTACCGCCGCCCCGGCCCCTCCCTAGCCACCTTGAGGGCCTCTTGTACCTGCCACCAGATCCCCCCTAACCCCTCAGTTCCATCTGTAGCAATGTGAGGGAGCTGAGGAAGATGTGCCCAGTGTGGCCCCTCTTCCCTTTCTCAGATTCAGGAGACCCAGTCAGCCTCTCTTTGCCTGCCATTGTCAGCTGAAAAACAGCACAAGCCCATGCATGGGATTGATGTGTGGGATGCAGGGGAATCTGTACAGAGAGCAAGAGTAGGGGGGCCCCCGATCTGCTAAAGACTCTCCTGACGGCTTCCAAGCCACCCTGACAATGAGAGGGAGCTCCTGGTTGGCTCTGCAGATCCAATGCATGCACACCTTTTAATTGTCTTTCAGACCCGCTGCGTGAGACTGGTGATTTTGTGAACTGTGGATTCGATACCTTTGTGCCTGTGCAGAGGTAGCGCTTTGACAGCTTTGGAGCTCCTCTGCAGGGGGGTAGCAAAGGCTGGGCCGTCTTGGTCCTGTGGCGCAGACCCAGGACTCCCCCCGCATCTGGCTGCTGTGTGGCTGTGTGTCTCCCTGTCCTCCAGGGCGCCCTGAGCCCCCGGGATGGAGACGGGGTTGGCACGCAGGGCTGCTCCGGCAGTGTGTGTCGAAGGCAAAAAAAAAAAAAAAAAAAATCAAAGAACAAATGTGATTTTTTGAAAAAGCAGAACTGTGAGACCTGCAGTCGGTATTGTTTTTGTTGTAAAGACAAATTTGGGATTTGTAAATGCATTTGTAAATCATGAACTCCCCTCCCTGTTTTTGCTCAGAACTAAAGGAAGCTTTTGTTGAAACTTCTCGTAAACTGTGTCGCACTCCCAGTGATACTTGTCTTTTGAGGACCCCAAAAGCATGGCCACTTTTCTTCCTCCCTCTTTTCTCTGCTCTCTTGTGGTGGGCTGACCCCGCATCCATGGGGCTCCGCACCAAGTTCGCTTCCATGACCTTTGACCACCTCCAACACCACATAGGCTGAAAAACATATTGGTCGTGGAGATGCCTGGTGGGTAATAGTAAATATTTGTTCAGCTTTTCTCAACAATTCGGTACCAAACCTCATCCTGTTCCCTTCAATGCATTAAGCAGATTTTCTTAAAATTCAGTAAATATTTTTAGTGGAAAATCTCAACGCTGTGATGGTGGGGACCTCAGATTTTATCTGCCAGGGCTGTGCTACTTGGCACGGCTTTGATCTGCCGGGTTTGCCTTCCCTCGCATGTGCATCAGCGAGAGCGAGCAGGGCTGGTGTCTGCAGGACTCCTCGCTTGCAAGCTGTTAACATGGTCCCAGGTGTCCTGTTTTGAGAAGTTAGCTTCCCTCACTCATCTTCTATGTCCCACCGTAGGCAGGAGCCAGAGGGAAACACAGATATATGTTGGCAAAAAAAAAGGTCTCTTTCCATAAAAGATGCCCCAGTGATTATGAATTTGAAAGGTGGTGCTCTGGACAGCCTGCTTTCTCTCTTTCTCCCCATGTCCCCCCACCCCCTAGTTAAGCTTTCCTGCCAAGGGCTGGGGGCA